GTTCCTTCTCATAGTTGGGTCACGACTGGTTTCTCTATTTATATTGATACAGTCTTACAAAAAGTACTTCCATACTTACCCTACATTATTAAAGATACTAAATCCCTTGTTAAATCACTTGATGGAATTTCTATTCCTCAGGATGAAAGACCTTTATGGTTAGTTACTGGTGATGTGTCTTCAATGTACACGAATCTACCTACTACTCCATATGCTTTCGATGTTATTGCCAACACTGTTAATAAATATGTTCCTCTTTCTTCGAATGACCCTACACTTATTCGAGAAACACTCAAATTTATTATGGGCAATAACTACTTTACTTTTCAAGGCTTACCATATCATCAGGTATCAGGTATTGCAATGGGTACTGCATGCGCTCCTGCTTATGCAAATATCTTGATGCATCATTTCGAAGAACGTTTCTTTGAATTTAATCCTGAATTTAAACTGATCTTTTATGGTCGATATATCGATGATATCTTTATCATTTTCAAAGGATCTAAACAAGAACTTGAAACCTTTTTGTATACTTTTGACACCAAGCGTGCTTTTAGTAACAAATTAAAGATATCTTGGGACTATTCATTGACATCTGTTAGCTTTCTTGATCTTCATATTCATGCAAAGCATAATAAGATTGAATTGTCCACTCATCAAAAAATGCTTAATAAATATTTATATATTCCATTTTCATCTTATCATCCCAAAGATAATAAAGTTGGTTTTATTAAAGCAGAATTGATTCGATACATTCGTAACAGCTCTTCTTACCGAAGTTTTGCTATTACTGCTAAACAATTTTTTACTCGATTACGACTTCGTGGATATCCCCCTCGTTTTTTAATTTGGGTGTTTAGTCAAGTATGTTACGATGACAGACCAAAATATCTTGAAGATACTCCTCTTAGTACAGATAATACTCTTGTACCTTTTGTTACAACGTATAATCCAATTTGGGAGACTTTACATCTTCGAAAAGGACTTAGGTTATTTTCTGATTTAAATCCACACTACCGACCAGTAGTTGCTTTTAAACGAAATAAAAACATTGCTGATTTATTAAATCGTGCCAATGTACAAAAATTAACGGGAAAGAAGTTCCATTCACTACAACAGGATGGACTTTGTTGGACTTCGTCTAAAAAACGTAACCTGAACCCTAACCCTAAACCTAACCTTAACCCTAACACTAACACTAATGTTGATACCTCATACCAACACTAGTGCTTTGAAAAATTTGACCATGAAAGACCCCTCTTGGCCTCATGAAGAACAAATTTTTCACTTACCTTACCCTTACTTACACTGTGGACATTCCTGGTTGTAAGATCCTGATTATGCTTTCTATTAAAAAAAGAAAACTGTCAGAATAACTCCTGAAATCTGCTCATATTTTACCTTGTAATTGCCTCGGACTTGTTCTGTGGGACAGCGGCTTCTCTTATGGGAAGGGTTATAAGTAGTAAAATATATAGTGTTTTCAAAATAAAAAATGTGGGCGATAAAAAATCCCCAATTTTTTGCAGGGTATTTATATATTTTTTCACTATTAGCCTCGGCACTTAACACCGAGTCTAAAAAAGGATCTCGGCACTTAACGCCGAATCTCGGCACATAACGCCGAATCTCGGCACATAAACGCCGAATCTCGGCACATAACGCCGAGTCTAAAGGGATCTCGGCACTTAACGCCGAGTCTAATCTTTCCTTAAATTTCCGGATCACGTCTTTCACCCGACTTATTCCGGCTTTCGTGTGAAAAAATAATTTTTCAAAAAGATATATAAAGAGCTAGTATAATGCACCTGAAGAAGCTACATCTCATTGTAGCGAATAGATTCAAATCTAAGTGTCTCTAGACTCTCAACTTTGTTGCTTCTTTATCGGTTTTTGGATATATTCTTATTTTTATTCCTATCTAACCCTAACCCTAACCCTAACCCTAACCCTAATCCTAACCCTCCTCCTAACCCTACACCTAACCCTAATCCTCATCCTATTCCTAACATTATTCCTATTCATAACCCTATCCTCCGTCCTAATTCTAATCCTAATCCTAACCCTATTCCTAATCATATTACTATTCATAAGCTTAATCCTAATCCTAATCCTTGTCGTTATATTATATTCTATCTCTATTCCTAATCCTAATCGTTATCCTAATTTTATCCTTAATATTAATCTTATCCCTAATCTTAACACTATTATTATTATTATTTCTAACTTTAATATTATTTCTAATCCTATTTTCTAATCTTATCCCTTATATTCATCTTAATCTTAATCTTATCTCCTGACCATTCTCCTGATCTTATATCTTATCCTTACTATATGTTTATTATTAACCTTTATATTAATATATTCCCTAATTCTAACCAAAATTTTTGACTATAATATTAATCCTGGTCGTAAATATAAACCTAATCCTAATCATTAATCCTAATCTTATGTGTTAATATATTTCTAATTTTACTATAATTCTATCCTATCCTAATTGTTATATATGTACTTTATACTAATCTTGTCTGTTTTTTATATAATTTTTTTTCTTCTTGTTCTTCTTTGTCTCTTATTCAATTGTTGTATATTGTCTTATGTAATATGTGTTGATTTATTCGTTACTTTAGTATTATTTTCTTTATTTTATACCTATTATTATCTATTATCCCTTATTTATATATGTATTATGAGTATTTCCTTTGTTGTATCTTCGTACTTGTAAAATGTTGTTATGCATTTATGTTTACTATTTGCTATATAAATATCATCGTGTTCGTTGTATAGCGGTAATTGTTTTTTTTCTCTCTCTACTACTGTAATGTATTCGCTCCGCTATGGTAATGTATTCGCTCCGCTGCGGTAATGTATTCGCTCCGCTATGGTAATGTATTCGTCCCACTACGGTAATGTATTCGTTCCACTACGGTAATGTATTCGCTACGCTATGGTAATGTATTCTCCCGTTTATTTGTATATCTTTTTATTTTCTTTTATTTATTTTTTTTTACTGTTCTTATTCTTTCTTGTTTTTTTTTCTTTATCTCTGTTATTATTGTTATTATTTCTTTCTACTTTGTCTATTTCTTTTCTCTACCCCTTTCCCCTTTTCTGTCTTTTTTTGTCTATTCTTCTCTCCTTTTCTGTGTATTCTTTTTCGTAGTTTCTTCGTCCTTTCTCTTTCTATAATTCTTCCTATTCCATTTCGTCCTCTCTGTGCATTTTATTCCCTATCCTTCCCTTTTTTTCTTGCTTGTTTCTCCCTTCTCTCTGCGTATACTTTCTCTGTTTTTGTTATTCTGTATTTCCATTCTCTCTACCCCCTTTCTCTGTCTGTGTTTTTGTCCACCTTTCTCTTTTTCATATATCTTTTTTCTGTTTATATTTGCGTTTTTGCTTCTCCGTTTTTTTCTTTGTTTGCTTGTTCTCCCGGTCTCTTCCTCTGCTTTATCTTCATATTTCCCTTTTCTGTTCTTCTTATATTCTTATCCTCCTTCTCGAACCTTTTTCTTTTCGACTTTTTTTCTCTATTTATTCCTTTCTGTTTCTTTATCGCATTTTCTTTCCTTGACATTGTTTCTTTCGCCTTTCTTTTATCTTTGCCTATTTTCTTCTTTCATGTTTTTTTTTGACTTACTTCTCCTTTCGCGTTCTTTATTTCATTTCTCTTTTTTTTCTCAGTTTATTCCTGCTCTTTTCTTTGCTTTTTATTCTTTACATTACTTCCATTTCTTTCGTCTTTTTGCTTTCCTACCATCTCCTTTTATATATCTTTTTTCTCTTTGTCTTATATATTACATTCTGTCTTTTCATGGGTTTCTTTGCTTCCCTTTACTGATTTTGCCTATTATTTGTACTTTTTTTCCTCACTGTCTCAATTTTTCCATCTGTTTTGTTTTATTTACTCTTTTGCATTCTTTTCTGTTTATTATTTTTGCTCAATTTCTCTCTCTTTCTATGTATTTATTTTTTATCATTTTAATTCCTATTTTGTCGGGTCCTTGTTTATCCAGTATTCGTTCCCATACTTGTTGTTGCTTCTTTTCTTATTATCTCAGTCTCATCCTTTCCCTTCTTTGTTCATTTCTTAGTATCACAATCTTTTCTTATTCTTTTCATTGTTGCTTTGTTCTATTTTGTTTTGATTTGTTTCTTTTAATTGTCACTATTCATTTTTTTATCACATTCCCTCTTTTATATATATTCTTTGTCTAATATCCCAATCTCTTCTTGTGGTGTTCTTACTTTTTGTCTAATCCCTCCTTTTTTTTCCCTTGTTCATTCTTTTGTCCTATTATATCAACGATTGTTTTGTCGGGTATCATATTGAAAGCCGATGATAAGTTGTATCTTGTTCATCATTTTCCTCAATTGCTATTTTTCAATATTGATGAGTGATGTTGATGACTTATTTAAGATTTATGACAACATATCAAGAAAGTGTAATGCTAATTAAATATTCACGCTTGATAGCATATTTATAAGTTGGCTGGTGGTCTCTCGTTTATGTTAAGAGCTTTCTATATTTTTTTTTAATAGTAAAACTGAAATTGATTATAACAGTTTAATGATATAATGATTTCAACCCATTTTTTTTTTTACTAATTATTCCAAAGCACGCTCTATGTAGTGGTATATATGAGACCGCTCAGTGAAGCAATCTCTGGTGAGATAATAACTGGATAGCATTTTCTATAAGTTCGCATACGCTAACTGGGCTATCATCGGCTATCTTAGGCTATTTCCCCTTACTTTTCAAACACCGAGGTACCTCGGTGTTTGAAAAATGTTATTAGGAATGATACCTCATGTATCAAGGTACCCAAGCACCGTGAGTCTTGCTTCTGATTGGCCATTCAAATAATACCCGTAATAATAGGATATCCTATTCTTATGTATCACTTGCCCTTTGTTCTGATTGGCTTTTAGCATGATACCCATGGTACCCATGGTACCTAAGGTACCATTTCTCGACGACTCACGATGTGAGTCGCCCAGAAATGTTATCAGGAAACGTCGTTGGCCATTTTGGTCGCAATCATTCATTGAACAGGTGGATTGCTCAATACAACGTACATCAACAGCAGCGGTATGGAGAGCAATTGGATGTCGAGTTATCCCAGATACATCCCGAACCGCTAACTATCCATAACTTGGAAGAAAAACTGCGTGATCAAGGAGCTGTCTTGTATAACGAGCACGGCCTGTACGTTGCTCCTCTCAAAAATCCATTGCCTGCCATCTCTCTCTTGGATGTATTGCCTGGCTTTATGTGTGGTTTCTGCCCTGTAGAAGATGTAACTGCAGTCGCTGCATTCACCGGCGCTGTATCCACTGTGGCCAAGCACATGCAACAAAACCACCGTGGGCTGAATCATAATCAGTACACCACTTGTCATGTACAGCATTTATACAAAGAACAAGGCCACAAGGTGTACTTTCGTGTGGAGCAGCAGTATTCGTGCCCAACAATTCCATCAACCATCACGAGTGAAGGTGATGCACTATTCGAAAACTTTTTGTGCGAGAATCCTGAGTTTGATGAAGGTTCAATCCTGATGCCACCGTCACTAAGCAAAGGCTTCTTTTCCTTCTCGATAGCCCCCAAGCCCGCAGTGTGGAGTGCTCTGCGAACGGTCTCCGGGTGAACCTTCATCTGGAAATTCTTCTCCAACATTTCTGTGACCTTGACGGCGCTTGAAACCCGTTCCTTGATTATTTTTCGAGCACAATAGCACTTGTCGGCTTCAAACAACACCCTAGGACGACCACCTTTCGAGGTTTTCACACCCCGACAATGCTCCATTCTGATTCGCCCGATAGTAGACTTACCCAAAGGCAGTTTTTCAGCAATTTCCCGAATTGAAACACCGCTTCAAAGCATTGTAATTGCAGAATTAACCTTGGAGACAGCAATGGCTTTCATGGCTTGATAATCGACGTACCCGATGTTTAGAACTCCGAAATGGATAATGAAGACTACTTGCGCTACATGAGGCTTTCTTATACGAGTCTCTTGAGGTTATTCCAAATTGTGGGTTTGAGTTATCACTGAATTTGTGATTTTTCAAGAGATCTAACAATACTCTCCCAATGTACCTTATGACTTTGGCCAATCACAGCTTGTGGTTCTACAGCTATATGCTTATAAAAATAAAAAGATATGAAGAAAACAGTTTTAGCTTTTAGAAAATACTAAATCCATTATTATTGGATAACTTCCCGTCCTGTGGTAAGGTCTGAAAGTAAAAACTGCTAAACATATGGGACAGTTTTGTGGGTCACGGTACATTCCGAAACGTGTGGCGTAAATTGAAACCGACTTATTGTCTTGTAGAAATCGCCTAAGCTGCGTTTCGGCGGTGACAACTGGATAAGAGTCTCCAAATGTGTTCACGAGGTTGGCTTTGAACGTGTCGTAGTTGGTCAGGATGTCTGGCTTGGGGTGCTGGTTTAACTGTGCAACAAAAGGTTCTGGAAACGTGAATGCCGGTCCAGACATACAAGAAATGGTGAACATGATTTTCCTCTCGTCTGTGTTGTAGGTCGTACAGTAGTCGGTCTATATAAGGCTATGCGGGGAATAAGGCTGAAATCTTTCAGTTTTTTTTTTACCAGCTATTTAGCCTTAATAGCCTATTTTTATATAAGGCTACAGATTCTAAAAACTTTAGCCTTATTTCATAGTGGTGATTGCTGCGATTGAGTTTAAGGCCAATCAGATAATAAAAAATATATAGCTTTTACTGAAAAATAACAAAATAATCACGTAAATCTGTTTGATTTTTCTCTGCTACTTCCTCCGATCTGATATCGTTCAGATTCCTACGGATAGTTTTCAGCATAGACTTTTCTTTTTCATCCATTGGGATGGTTTGGTACAAGATAGTTTCATACGCATGCTTCAGCTTCTCCCTTATCTCCTTCGTATCAACATCGTAAATCTCTACTGGTTCTTCCCCTACCTCAAGCTCTTGTGATCGATGGGTAACATCATCGCCATCCTCAAATTCAACAATCATGGGATTAAAAACGATTGCATCAGACTCATCTGCATTTAGATCCAAGTCGTTTACTTCAGTTACCAATTGAACCCCATCATTACTTCTGTTTCCAGGAAGTTCAGGGGTGGTTTCGTTTAACTGGCTGACTAGGTCATCGTCTAAAGGTAGCTCGAAAAATGGGAGTACATCCTCCGAGTCGACTCTCTGTCTCTGAGCAAACTTAAAATCAAGGATCTTCGTATGATCCCAGTAATTTTGGATTGTTTGAGGCTTAACTTTGATCCAAGAATCAGCAAGAAAATACAGAGCATCCACCTCATCCATTCTGTATTCCTCGGTAAGATCAAGGCTTACCCCAGCAAGATACTTGTTCACTGCCCTGTAGTATTGGTGCCAACGAAACTGAGTCTTGAGGTTCGCAATGATTCCTATCGAGTGTGTGATTAGAGATGAATACGGATATCAATGAAATTTGTTGATTTACCGGCATCCAAAGGCTGCAACTTGCTGGAAGGAAAATCAACTTAATGTTGCTTAATTATTCTTTCAATTTATGCACTGAAGCATTGTCAACCAAGAGAGCAACTTTTCTTCCGGCGTAAACGAAAGACGCATTCAAACGTTTGACGTACTTCCTAAAGATGTCGGTGTTTATCCATGCATTAGGAGATGAATGGTACTCCACATAATGGGATTGCCCGATGTTGGTGGTTCGTCTGTACAAAGCAGGTTTTTTGTTTGCTGCCTTTGGTGTCTTTCGTTTCCCAATTACAATGGGGTGCCCTTTATAGGATCCATCATAGTTGGTGATTAGTCCAACTGTGAATCGGTTCTTGCTTTTCTTTGAACCACCTAAAGGTTCCTGATAAATGATGTGAGCTGATTGTTGCTCGTAGTATAAGCCAGTTTCATCAAAGTTGAGAACATTTTTGGGATCATATGGCTCCAACAATTCTTCAAACTTTCTGAGTTCTTCGACAATCTTAGATGATGTTAAGTCGACTGAGCTTTTTTCACCATATAAATGTCTTGACTTGACATCAATTCTCTTGAAAACATCGGTTAGCCATCCATCTGATGGATTTGCTTATTCTTTGGCAATACATGCAGGCGGTACTTTCTGTGTGCGACTACTTTTGCAAAAGCTGCAATAGTTCCGGGATTGACAGGAAGAGATTTTGCATTCATAGCTTGAATGTACTCCAAAATGTCATTGTCCAATTGTGGCATCGTCAAGGCTCTGCTGCTTTTTCCCTTCAAATTTCCTCCTTCGTAAGCTTTGATCATCTTGTCCTGTGAATTCAAGACGTTCGATACAGTTCTTTGCTTGACTGAGTGATGTAGGTTGAATTCCTTTTGAGCCCATTGACCGAGTTGCATTTGCGTTAGATTAGGAAAGTGCATGTTGTGTATAATAATGCGATACTTTTGCTCGATTGTGAGGCGATCTCTTGATCTTTGATTAAGGCACTCGATAGGATATTACGTTCAATAGAAGTGAAATAAACAGATAAATGAATGTTACTGGGGAGGTGTCAAATTGATTTATTCGATCAACTATTATAGTAATAGATTTTACGCGGACGACTTTTTTGACAGAAGTCACGCGCGTCAGTTAAGGCTATGCGGGCAATAAGGCTAAAAAAACCTCCCCAAAAAAGTAGCCTTATATAGAGCGATTACTGTGTTCGCTGCAAAGTAGACCGCCAGTTGAGAAAAGAAGGTGCCGCCCGGGCGAGGTTTGCTGTCGAACGGAGAGGGTAATCGAACCTTGATGTTCGAATCATTTGAGATATTTGAACTATTTAACATATTAGTGATATGCTGCTGTTGGGTGGTCAGGGTATCCCGAATGTCTTGCAGTTGTGTCGGCAAAGTATACTGTAGTTCTCGAAATTGGGAGATAACCTCATGAAGGGTGTGGATCTGTTCTTCCGACAATGACATTGTTGTGTCTAATTCGTAATTTGAAAAATATCCGGGGTTGAAAAACTTTTGAGTGGCTTGACTCTGGATGGCTTGACTTTAGGTGGCCTGGCTTTGGGTGGCTTGAGTAAGCGTCAGGATAACTTGAAAAACGTACGTGGGGGTTGTTTGGTAGATTATAGTGTCGAGAACTTGATTACAGAAGAGGGTTTATTCAATATAAAATGATTATCTTGTACATCTTCTTTTCACGTACTTCAAGATAATCATTTTCTATTGAATAAACCCTCTTCTGTGGTCAACTTCTCGACAAATAGTGTACTTGTAGAAATAAAGAACACAGTTTTATTAATTGAAAATAGTGATATACTCATACTATTAAACCAAGGCGTAGTAAACTAGGATTATTATTGTTAGGTACCAATTAAACGCATTATGAATATACTAGAAGAATTCATTGTCTGTTTCTAGAAAATTCTAGACGTTTGACTTTTTTTTAATAATAGTCACGCGCGTTATTTAATGCTATGCGGGAAATAAGGCTAAAAAACCTTGCCGAAAAACTAGCCTTAAATACCGCGACTACTGCATCTCCAGGTGTATGGCATATGATGTAACTCACAATGATTCAGTTTGTTTTTATTATAAACTTTACTTTTAAATCACCACGCAACAGAACGACTACTTGGACCTACTGATAATTACCTTTTTCGATACTTCATCGGAAAAAAGGTTGAAAATTGTTGAAATTCTTCGATGAGCCATCAGCGGGATACAGTTTCTTCTATTTTTTTTTATGAATGTAGTTCTCTTTCATTAGTCACTCAAGTTTTGAATGGTCTCACAGTAAGATATCTGTAGTGAATATGTATAATATTAAATGGATATAAATCAACCTTCAATATTGCTTTTTTGTAGTAATCTGTCGAAGAAAAACACTGCTAATGAAATTACCTATTTTGGTAATAAATAATTTCATTTTAAGCCTCTGCAATGGATCAATTTTTAGTTTGAGCCTTTCCAATAGATCAATTTAACATCTGAGCCTCTGCGATAGATTAAAACTAATAGCTAAGCTTCTGGAATGGGTCAATCTCACATTTGAACCTCTTCTGGAATGGATCAATTTAGCATTTGAGCCGCTGCTGCAGTAGATCAGCATCTCTTTTGAGTTTCTGTATCTCTTTTTGTTACAGTTTTAAGGCTTTCAATTGTAAAATCTGTGGAATAAGCTTTATTTATAGATCTAATCCAATATAATACCCATCTACAGTACCAAATAAGAAAATTATGCAAGTCAAGTTGTAAAATCGAATAATTTTACATTCATTGCCAAATGAGTATGAAAGCTTTAATTTTATTGGGGTCTACGCTGGAGGGCTATAGTAGTATCAAGCATGTCTGCATATACAGCCTTTATAAACTAGAAATCTAAATTCCCCAAATATACGTTGCAATTGTCTTACAGTTTTCAGCCAGTGATAAATTTTTAGATTGTAGCACTTGAAATGCCACAGTATTGCAAAACTGGTCCTCAGATCAAAATGGTTGTTATTTCATGCTACAGCTAAAAGTCTGAATCATTGAGGTGTTCCCGATTTTTGGTATTAATAATAGCTCACCAAGTAATTTACCAGGATCAGAAAGACAATAACTTTGACAAAGTTTTAACTGAAGGACATCACTTGCCAATATTAATGCTTGACATGACAGTATCTAATGCAAAACGATTGAAATTGATTTGTAAGATAAGTAGATCAAGAATATATAATACGCCCACTACCAGCTTTTCAGTTATTGAGATAATGTGATTTTATTTTTAGTATTATATTGTTAGGGAAAGTTGAATGATAAAAAAGTAAGCTACTAGAGAATCACGGAAGCTAATGTTGATGCTAAGCTGGCAACAACATTATTTCTGACGACTCCTTGACGGGGCCCCTCATCATCATTATCATCACTCTCATTATCATCTCCAGCAATGACTTCTTCATTTGCCTGCTGTTGGATGCCATGCATTGGATAGAATAAAGATTCACTGGCGGCAGTTCTGTCAATAGAAAAATTAACTACCAGATCATCATCTCTTGCATCTTGATTGAGTTGTGGAGGATGCTTTCTAGTGATATTTTGGAGATGCGTTTTATTTTTTTCATAGCAACGCACCCATTTGAGATATTCAAGGTGTAAGAAGTGATTCTGACGAGCAACTTCATAGTGGCCATTGATGCGAGTAATCAAGTTTTGCTCCTATTTCTGTGCTTCTTCCTAAAAGCCATCACCAAAAAATGAGCAAATGCAGGATGGACTTATAATTTGTTACAACAATAATCTTGGTTTCCTCGACAGTCCTTCTTCTTAAGGTGTGTCATTCCTTCATTCCTTGAGACAGTCTCAAGAAATCCTCATCCTCATTATTCCTGAGCCTTTGCAGCTCAATCGCAACACTGGGCACTTTTCTGCGTGGATCCCCTATATGTCAACGAGAGATTGAGAAATCCTGATATTAATAGAAGATCTGGTGATTAACAGAGCTTACCACCGAAATTCCTATCAGCAAAACTGTTAATACTGTCAACTAATATTCCAGCCTTCTTTGTGGAGGAGGTAATGGATAGTAGCAGCCTAGCAGCTTTATCAGTTCCTAAAAATATTTGTTAAAGCCAGTTCAAACAGTTTGATGTTTCTAGCTTTTTTTTTACCAGTCGAATTGGGTCTTTGCAGTTCATAATCATTCATAAAAATGGACAAAACCAATATATGACAGCATTCGTCGTTGATTGCCTCAAAGTATATTTGCATCGCAATGTGCTCAAAGGTCGTTGGCCATCCTCCGTTTGCAATTAATTGAGGAAACAGTTCCTCAAGTTGGTTGATTTTTTGCTAAAAGCTGACGCTTTAAGCCTGCTATATAGCCGCTTGTTGTAATGCTAAATTAAAATTAAATGAGTAAATTGTTGAACCAAACCATCAGGTTATAACATACGAGAAATGTCTTGAATTGAGAAACGACAGCTGATCAACTGTTACAGCGTACTCATGCTCAATGTTGTCCGTGAGCAAGAGGGTAGCCTCTGCCCTTTCACGCAGTCTTTGATTGTTTCTGTCGTTAAAGAAGGGGACAACAAGGGCAGTACGGTGGTCATTCCATTCTCTTTCAAATGCTTCAAATCTACTCTTGGTCATTTTGGAGTTTTTGATGGTAATAATCGCTTTTTCGTGTTTTTTTTACAAATAGGTTCGCTATGAGTTCACAAATTGCTTAGTGATACTGTGCAAACATACATAATAGGCAACTTACGCAATTCCATCATCTTCTCATCACAATAGGCATCAGCCAATTCAACAATCATTGCCCTGCGATTAGATATTGTCATCGACCTCAATTGTGCCACAAAATGGTTGGCAAACGACGAAAATCTCTCTTGAAAGTTATCAGTTACCAATGATGTATTTAGATCATACTTAACATACCTGCTCCTTCTCCATCTAAAACAACGAACAAGAAATTATTAGAACATGAAAATGACAATTATCAAGACTGAAGCTCCTACCTGTCAGGCCTTGGGCATGATCCACATACCTAGGATTATTCTTTGCTTGGTAAGCAGCACTGTGAGCATATGCGTGGAAGACGCTCACAGCATACCAAATATCACTCCTGCTTTCAAGCTCTGGGAAATAGTTCTTTTCGTCCAATAGTTGCAATCAGTACATTATATTCATTTTTGATCCAGGCCACTATGGCTTACGTTAAACGTTTCTCTGCATGCGCAGGCGATATCATACATAATTAGCAATTGTTGATCGTCTTCCAAATTTTGAAGAACATGTTCCACGCCAGTGAAAGCATATTTTCTCCTACAAGGAATTAATTACAATCACATTTACTGCCAATAATCTCTTACCCTTCTCCCTCAAAAATATCGTAGAGCCTTTCAACAATTCCATGGAGAGCACAATTGATACTGAAAACACCTAAAAGTCATTTATATTTGGGTTAAACAAGGTCCACAGAGAGGCGAATTCACAGTTTACCATTTTCGTCAAAACGATTACTAGCGGTTCTTCGATTGTTACTAAGAGCTTGAAAATCGCTATCCAAATCTTCCAAAAGACACTTGTATGATCATTCGAAAGTGAGCACTTGGGAGTTTCCCACTGTAAACAAATCACCTACCTCATCTGACGCTGGAGGCTCTGTTGTCGTATTTGTCGACATCTGCTTTGTCACCAAATTTTACTTTCACAGCCTCGGAAGCGAGAAAGATGTTTGGATCCCCATTATCAACAATATCAATCTATCTAGATTTTTATCGTTTTTGCTGGAAACTTCCATCCATCGTAATTCCCTTTCTTGGTGCCCCCCCTGGTTGTATTCTGATTAATTGCATGCCAAACAACTACAATCTCTTTCCATGACATTTGTTAAAACATGTTTTCCTTCGAATGCTTCTTGCCTCTTTGGTAAACAACAGCCATTTCGTTAATATTGGCGGGAAGAGGCTTGAACTTGTGTTGTCGAGAAACCGATTAGTTGACTTTTATTTCAGTTGATGTGTGAAGAACCTACCATGGGATCAAAACTTGAAAGTCTCAAGTTGCTCGCATTGTTTGCTTTTATAAACCATAGACTGACGAATACGCATTCAAGCAATTGTCAATCATTGACTCAAAAAGCGAAAAATGCACTGCAGACTTTGGTTTCTTTGGTGCTGTTGGCAACATTTGAGACATCAACAGTGACTCGAGCAATGTTTGGTGGGTATAAAATTCCATCTGGAAAACACAGTGCTTTATATTCGATATAGTCAATTTTCGCATTTTTGAAGCTTTTCACTTTGCCCTTGGCAAACATCATAAATCCATGGATTGGCCATGAGGTTTGGCGAGTATTGAAATCACAGTTTGTTGGTTTTGTACCAAGAGTGATGGGCTTTTTCAAGCAGGGATCAGCGTGGACATGCACTTCATGGCTCTCAAGAAAGTTCTTCAAAAGCACATCACGGACATCTTGCCATCTTTTGTATCTTGATGACAAGGAAGTATTGTCGTCGTCGTCGATATTTTGCCATTGACTGCCCATGTCGATATCTTCGACACCATCATTTGAAGGGTAAATTACAGCTGCTCGCTGAGTTCTTTCTGCTGAAGATGAAGGGCCAGGGTGTTGCGCAGGTACAGCACAAACAGTGTCGTTCCTGTGTGCAGTATATTGCTTGACGAACTTCTGTTGCTCTCTAATTTTTTGGTTTTGGTACTTCAAACTGTGTTGTTTAGGTTCAGTGTTGAGACGTCCATCTTTAATTTTCCGTCTTCGTTTGTTTCTCCTGTTGTCAGACATATTCAATAATCAAATTTATTTTCTTTTCAGAAAGTTATTAAAGTAAAATACAACGACGGCTAGTAATTTGATCAAGGGACTGTAAAGTCATTCTCACCCATCTCCATTGCCATACTAATCATCGCTTTCGATGCTTCATCGAAAATTTCTCTGTCAATTTTTCGATGAAGCATCGAAATAATAAATCAACCGCCGCAGAAAGTATAGCATGAAGATTTTTGGATGAAAAAGTAATAGTGACAGAACAAATTTACTCCTGTGGTTCATCCACCATCGATAATTTTATACATATTTTTTTCTTTTTTATATGTACTAATATATGCTTTTTACTATCACATTAGCAATGTACATGGTGGATATCATCTTAAAGCCCAAACTCTGTTTCGAAAGAGACGGAATACTTTCGGAAAAGACAGTGACTATGAGGTGTTCCTATAGACCCTCAGTCGGTTGAGAGGTATTACCAATACAAGACAAGAGGGCATTAGCCACAGCATTCTCCTTGCCAAGTTCTGCTATGGCCAAACACATGGTATCGGGTAGAATTATCATCGCGAGGGACTTGAATCAGTCATCACTTTGAGTGGGAATTCCCACCATAGTTCTGGTGGGCGAGAAAAAAAAGGAGACAAGCTGTATCTGCAGTAAAATACATGAGGGTCATTTCATCGCTAATAATTGAATACTAGCCCTACTTGTTTGTTTCGACTCGTTGGAAAGGGGAGGGGGGCAAGGGAAAACCCATTAGTAGATGCTAGGCTAGGCAATCTTCATAGCTCCATTCAAGTCACGGGTTATGGTAGTCGACCTTGGGCAGCTTATACTTCATGCCCCCCCCCCACTTGCCCAAACACATTAGAGCATGAGACAGATGCCGATCAATCAGTGGTAGATCACTACTAATAACAAACCTTTGATAGTTCTTGTTTGGACCTGCAAAAAGGAACTATAAAAAGAATCTTGATGCATAAGAGCTTCGATAGATCAGAGCATTCAAAAGAATCAGGAACGAAACGTTTAGATTGCCTCCCTTTATAACTCAATTCAGCTGGAATATCTATTAGCAGTAGCGTACTGTACCATTCATCTCTCTCTCAGGCTTTCGTAATAAGTTATGTATAGCCTTTCGTACTTGTGATCTTTCGGCCTAATTTAACGTTGCTGCCATGACTCCTATTGCATAACTATCATTGGTTGCAATTTAATCCATATCCTAAACAGTTCAAATGGATATGAGACAATGAAGCTACCAACACCAGAGTATGAGCTTGGCCCATATTAAATACTTTTGAAGTTGAAAGCTTTTAAACCTAAATGTTATTCGCAATGCTACAAAATCTCTCTTTTTCTGGCCTGTTGCACTTGAGTCTTTTCGTACCGCTTCTCTACTATTTGCATCCTTTGATTTCCTATGCATATCACTAGTAGTAAGAAGTTTAGATATCATCTGTATTATTTCTATCAAAAGTATTTGATTTGCGTCTCATAAATGTTATTTTGCCATGAAAATCTAGCAGATGATTCACATAAATTTATTTTTGGCTTTATAAATATGCCTAGTGTACGTATTTATGTGAAACTGTCCCATAAATCAGGCATGCGTCGCATAGTTTTGGCAAATTTTTGCATAGATGTAATCCATATGTCATGTATATCTACCCAAAGCCGCTTAAAAAAAGACTTGAAAAAAAAGAGACTAGATTCCACATCCATGGCGATAACAGCAACATTGTGCCCGATAACAGTAGCTGCGTAGAAAAGCTAGTAGAGTAATTTGTCATTGAATATGAGCTCCAGTTTTGTAATCACAGTTGTCCATGGAAATGCTGTGCGTTTGGCCATCTCGAATGTTTGCTGCCATGCTTTCTTGAAGGCTGTTTTCAGCTGAACAAATCGTATTCCAGTAGCTCTCCTTGGTTGTTGATGTGAAATTCTTGTGTGCTATTCTAGAGTAGGTTTCTTCGTTTCTTGATCTGATACTTTTGATGTTTTGAATGTCTCCGATTATGCGATTCTTTGCAACATGTCATTAGTAAAAGTTTACAAGGAACATGTAAGCAGGTGTATGTATCATTCAAATGTTGATACTCTTGAATGTTTCATGGGCCCTCGATGCCAGTCTTTCCCGCCAAAGGGCTGTTTGGATAAGACACGGGCTCCACCGCATCAGGTATCGTTGTGTTGATCAATTTCATATCATTATGCCTTTATACTATCACTGTCTTTTTGAATATAGCTTGCAGCATGTCTTTAAACTTATTGGCCATGTTGAACATATCCGCTTGCACTAATGATACCTCTACCATATCCTGGTCTATTGGCTCTGGTTGCTTTGGTGCTTTTGCAGGATTTGTCTTGGGGTGAGCCAATGGCTATGGGCGTGACATGAAGGACATTGGGTTTACTTGCTGGCATAGGTAGTACTGGTGCTATTAAAACGGCAAGTGTCTCAAAGTCAGCATTAGTAGCATCCAGGTCCACATCACCAGCCCCGTCATCTGCGTCCCAAGCATCTGGTTTGTGCATACTAAACCATTGAATTCGAGAGCAGTGTTATACTACTCATCCGAGTTCTTGGTAGTCAGTCAATATCAATGGATACGCAAAACACTTTCTCTTGATAAATGATATTCAAGCTAAGCTCGATATTACACGTTGCTTACTAACAAATGAACAACAAGCTGTTAAACTCATCAGATCTATATGGTTGCACACAATGCGCCTCTTCCCTAGATCTGACTTGATGCTCATAATTTGCAACTCCATTAGCATGAAAAGGGAAAAAAGCGCGTGGTGGGTTCCATTTCCTTCTTTTCACTTGTATTTGAATATTCCACAATGACAGTAGTAGAGCTAGAACTTATACACTTCAACGATGTGTATCACGTATCGCCAAGCAAGGATGAGCCTGTTGGTGGCTCCTCCCGTTTTGTAAGCAAGATAAACCAAATTTTGACAGAATCCACCGCTCAAGACAAGCCCATGGTTTTGTTCTCGGGGGATGCTTTCAATCCGAGTCTAGAGGGAACCATCACTCGTGGTGCTCATGTGTAAAGTAGTAGAAGTAGATACTATTTTGTGCTGGATATGATGCTAACATATGTATACACACACACACACACAAGTCCAGATGTCTTGAATCAGTGCCACATCACTGCTGCATGTGTAGGCAATCATGACTTTGACTTCGGTATGCCCCAGCTGGAGAAATTGATAGGACGCACTGAATTTCCATGGTTACTGTCCAACGTGCTCAATAGCGACAAGAGTGCTTCGTCTGACAAGATTAAGCGATTCGTTATTACCGATCACAGCGAACTACGCATCGGCATCATCGGACTAGTAGAAAAGGAGTGGATACAAACCATCCCATCATTTCCACCGGAACTGACGTACTATGACTTTGTGCAAGTAGCGCAAGATCTCTCCCGACAACTAAGAGACCCAAATGGGCCTTACAAGGTGGACTTGGTCATTGCGCTGACACACATGCGGGTTCCTAATGATATCAAGCTAGCAAAAGCCTGCCGACATGACATTGATTTGATTCTGGGAGGGTAAGAGAGAATGATTAGTAGGGGAAAAAAGAAAAGTGTAGGCCATAACACTCGATTTATATAGACATGATCACTTTTATTACATTTCGAAATCCATTGATATTGTTGGTGACAACTGGAGTCGAGACAAAAACTTGAGCGATGTTGGCTTTGACCCTGAGGAAGAGCAAGTGGACTATCCCATCCGTGTCGTCAAGAGCGGCACTGATTTTAGAGAGCTGTCGTGGTTGAAACTGAACATTGAGACCAACGCAGAGGGGAGAAAGTACATTCAGCACATGACAGCACAGCGGGAGATCATCACATCGGATATCATGCCAGATGCAGAGACAGAGCGCTTAGTGAAGCAAGTAACAAAGCAAGTGGCCTCCAAGACATCTACGCCCATTGGCTACACCACTGTGCCTTTGGATGGTCGTAGCATGTCTGTCAGATCAGAGGAAACCAACCTTGGAAATCTGACAGCTGATCTCATGGTGGGCTTCTATCGAGCCTCTTCTTGTCCTCCTGTGGATGTCGGTTTCTGCGTTGGTGGAACAATTCGAAACGACAGTGTCATTGAAGTAGGTGAAATTACGCTGGGAGACATCCTTACAGCCTTTCCATTCCTGGATCCTGTTGTTGTTATCCGCATCACTGGCAAACAGCTATGGGATGCGCTTGAGAACAGTGTGTCTGAATATCCCAAGCAAGAGGGTCGATTTCCTCAATTGTCTGGCGTTCGCCTCGAATGGAATCCTGATGCGCCATCTGGAAACAGAGTGCGCCAAGTGTATACAGTCAGAAAAGGAGCTCAAGTTGCACCCAACAATGGGCGTCGTCGCTCACTGACATTTCCTCATATGGTGGATCCCGGGGACAAGTATCATCCATGCAACATGGAGCCGCTCGACATGAACAAGGAATACGTGGTGGCTACGCGTGCCTACTTGATTGGCGGCTACGACGGATACACATCGCTCAAGGTGCCTAGCGACAGAATCATCGTTGACGAGGAGTCTGGTGTGCTGATCTCCACCATGTTTAGAAAGTTCTTTTTGGGTCTCAAGTACATCAATGCCTTTCGAGAATACCAAGCCAAACATGCGCATCGCAAGGACCGCATCCAAGGCCTTGTAGCGTCAGCAGCTGCACATTGGCGTGATTTAGCTTTCCAATTCAAGCGACACAACCATCCAAATGATGGCCGAAGCTGCGACTGTGAAACCAGTAGTCAAGATGGCCAGTCTTTTCTGAATAGCGATATAAAAGAACGTGCCAATTACCACATTTCCAAGCAAGGTATTCAAGATGCATTTGTGGACTCCAGCAAGGGCCATCCCAGTTGTATCCCTGCTGAGGAGGACGAGGACCAAAACGCATATAACAAGGACAGTGACCTCACGTGGGTCAAGCGATGGGCTAGTATCTCTCCCACAGTGGAGGGCAGAATCGTACGAGTGAGCGATTAGACTTTTTTTTTTTTCGTTCTTCTTCGAGTCATGTATAAATTAAAGCAATTTGATCTGAATGATCTATTTCATATTACCTCTGCGTACCACCTTAAAACCTTATTTAGGACGATTTGTTGATGCACTTTTTAGCCTCCAATATGGAAGTTTGCAAAATTACATGAGGCTTTATTGACCAAACTAGGCCTTGCTTAACATTGTGTGCTACCAAGCGAAAGTATAAAAAAACCAAGCTGCTTTTTCCCAGGATGAGTTTCTACATCTTCTTCTCTTTACATTCATGAATTCAACCACGACAACAGAGGCTGCACAGGTGTCTGCCCTGGATGTCCTTAAATACATAGCAAAAGGCATTGGAAGACTGTTCTATATCGTGTCACCCGCAGACACTACATTTGCTCACTACAAACAAGTGCCAGATTACATTACAGAGGCCATTCCCTTCTTTGTGCTGACAATTACATTGGAATTCCTGACATTGATGTTGAAAGATGGAGGCAAAGGTTTGAAAAAGCTGCGATTGTGGGACGCCAATCGATTCTCTGTCAATGATGTGGTGGGCAGTGTTGGGGTAAGTATGTGTTGCTGTGCTCCAGAGTCAGGATATCTGAATGTAGTCTATTTGCATTTAGGCGGGCATGTTGCAGCAATTGAGCAAGTTCTTTATTTACAACCTCACCCTCAACTCTTACCTGTATATATACGACCACTATCGACTGGTTGATTTGGATCCCACCAGCTTATGGCTATGGATTGTGGGCTTCCTTGTGGTTGATCTCGGTTACTACTTGTTTCATCGTGCAGCACATGAAGTCAATCTGTTCTGGGCAGGACATGTGGTGCACCACTCGTCTGAATTCTACAACCAAACAACAGCACTGCGTCAGAGCATCTTGCAACCCTACACCTCTTGGCTGTTTGATCTGCCTACAGCGCTCTTCTTGCCTCCTTCACTTTTTGTGATGCACAAGCAATTCAACACCTTGTTTCAGTACTGGATCCACACAGAAGTCATTGGTAACTTGGGGCCCTTGGAGTACATTATCAACACACCCTCAGCACACAGGGTGCACCATGGAAGAAACCCTTACTGCATTGACAAGAACTATGCTGGCACTTTGATTATTTGGGATATTCTATTTGGCACATTTGAGCTGGAACGCACACCACCCGTGGAAAACAAGGACATTGAGCCAGTAGCATTTGGTCTGACACACCCTATCAACACCTTTGACCCATTCACCATTCAATTCCACCATCTCTCACACGTGCTCAAGACATGCTGGTCAACAAGAGGTATCCAGAATAAGCTCAAAGTGCTGTTTTATGGGCCTGGATGGCATGATGACACACCCAGAACAGGCTTGTTGGAGGAGATCCCACCTATTGCCAAGGACGTGCCACCGCAAAAGTACGATCCACCTGTCTCATTTGGTATTAACGTGTATGCCATTGCTCATTTCGCTGTGCTGATTGTCGTCAATGGCTTGATTTTGGACTACAACCCTGGGGAACTCGATTTCTCTATAGTGCTGACCACCTCATTGTACATCTTTTCTACCTTGACCGTCTTTGGTTGGATATTTGATCACAAACCGTATGCTATAGAGAGTGAATTCGTCAGATCTGTGCTGGTTTGTGGTATCGTTGAGATTGCAAAGCGCAACTCCATCTTGCCACAAAAAATGATCGTATTTCAAGCAGTGCAATTTGCAAGTAGCTTATGGTTGTTGGCAACTCAACGACAAGTGCTACCCAAAGCGGCCAAAGTTGAATAAACAATAAAGACAGTGAAATGTCTGATTTAAATGTGTATGTGTGTGTATGTGTGTGTGTGTGCCTGAAAACGCTGTGGTCAATGACATCCCGATCCGAGTAGTTCGCATCTCCGGACTTGGACTTTAGGAAAAAAAAAATGAGTATATAATTCAATTGAATTCACAGAAGCAAACACTCTTTAATCGTCTTGTATCCTTCGGGTTAAATCGTTACTTGCGACATCCATCTATCATAATCATGTCTGCCGAACTTGCTGTTGTCTATGCCGCTCTCATCCTCGAGGATGATAACGTTGAAATCACTGTAAGCATCAATCATAGAAATGGATGTGTGTTTGAGACGAGAAAAACTAACAGCTTTCATTTTTAGGCCGATAAGCTCCAAACTTTGGTCGCTGCTGCTGGTGTTGAGGTTGAGCCTATCTGGTTCTCTCTCTATGCCAAGGCTCTCGCTGGTCAAGACCTCAAGGCCCTTCTTTTGAACGTTGGTGCCCCTGGTTCCGGTCCTGCTGTCTCTGCTGGTGCCGCTGCTGGTGCTGCTACTGATGCCCCTGCTGAGGAGGCCAAGGAAGAAGAGAAGGAGGAGTCCGACGATGATATGGGCTTTGGTAAGTGTGAATGTATGGCTTGATGGCATGGTGATTAACCCTGTTTTTTTGTGTGTGTGTATGTGTAGGTCTCTTTGATTAAATTCAATCAACATAGAGCCAATGTAATCTGACGAAAATTCAATAAAACTTGTTCTATTTTTGTTGCCCGAAACCATCGAGTGCATATTGTTGAGAGCAGAAGCAGTGGTTCAGGATGAGTGTATACGAGTGTAGTTTATCTGGAGCAAATAGGATTTGAGTGAACATCTGAATGAAAAAGAACAGTATACGTATGTTCTGTGTTTGACTGTTGAACCCCGGATTCGTATTGTCGCAAAGTTCATGTCAGTGGTTCGCTTTCTACTTGAATAGATTCCAATATGGCAATTCAATGCATTCAATCATTGCTTTCTTTTACCGATTCATGCCTGAAGTCATACACGCTTGTTTCGTCTTTTACTTTTACTCTTGTTGAGCCAGACATGGTGCTTTAGCTACAATGACAATAAACGATGCGTGTTGCTAAAGGTATTGGTGCACTTGTTACTCCTGTGAGCTGGCAACAAGACACAGCCAAATCGATCTTACAGCAACAAACTGGAAGCGAGCAGTACAAGTAAAAAGAGTTGTTCCTATCAAAATGACCACGATAGGTATCTTTGACACGCACCCGAGTAGATTGATTCATGGATCAAGGTCAATATCTCGTCAGCCGGATTTACAAAGCAATCCTGAATGACCTGTTGTAGGAGCATGAGTGATCTATTGTATCAGCCTGTGCAATCCCTCAAAATCTGAAATGTGCAGTTTAATAAAGAACAAAGCTCTTCTACAATATATGTTACCAAAGAACTAAGACTCACTGGAGAAATCATTTGGTTAGAAGCCACACTTTCGTTATTTTGCAATAATTCTATCAAAGATGGGTCTTGTTCCATGAAATAAAAATGAACAGCTAGCTTCAAGAGCAGGCTATAATTTTTTTTTCTTACAATTGAAAGGCATACCAATCGAGAAATCAGAAAGTTATACTCATCAATCTGAAATTTCACAATAGCTTAGCTTGCGAAATTTTCAGAGAGTTATATTAGCCCTTTGCAACATTACTCAAAAGTGTGCATACACGTAAAACATTAAGCTTTCATTACACTTGAACTAAAAGTGAATTAACGTGAATTAACTGGATTTCATGCAATGGCTGATTTTCTTCAAAATTGCAAAAGCTTTAAACGGATATATCTCGGCACAGAAACGGCAGACAGAGACAACAGATTTACGAAAATAATTCTTCAAATAACATTTGTCACAATTGCTGGTTATCTTGAAATTCATGGGGAGGTTGTGAAAATATGTTGGAGATCTGATTTTTCAAAAAAAAAAAGACTTCGATTCTGGAGTGTAACCGAGACGGAGCATAAATTGTAGCGGCTTCAAATTCCAATCAGATGTGACATCGCCAAATGGATCGCGTGTAAAGCGCGCTTTGCTTGTCCAAAAATTCATTCCCTTTTCGCACATCACAGTTTACTATGGACGACGAATTCGACGATATCTTGCTAGATGATTACAATATCGATACTCTTGATAGAGCTCAGAAAAATGTGTCAAGTTTAGACGACAACAATAACGAATCGCAGGCAACAACAACATCAAAGAAGGCCGACAAGAAGAAATTCAATGCAGACCTGCAAGTATAGAGACACATGTGTGGTGTGATTGATTGAATCGTAAAACTCATTCGTGTATACCATGATAGATTGCTAGAACCTAACGGAATACCACTACTGAAGAGTGAAACTCAATACATTAAATTCAAAAAGACAAGGGGGCACGAGGTAAAAGCATCGAGCGTATGGCAGTAAGCTGAGACACTCACAGTCAGTATTCCTTTTTCCTGTCCACCAGCATGAAGATTTGAAGAAGCTCATGACTTATTACACCATTTGGGCAAACAACCTATACCCAGGCCTTTTGTTTCATGATTTCGCCAGAAGAGTAATAAATCCAGCAAAGTCCACAACAGTGAGATCATTGATGGATCAATGGAGTAACGAATATCGGGAGAGAAGACAGGTTAGATTGGATGTGAGAAATGAGTTATCAGGCAAGACAGTAGGAGGTAATGTTCCCCACTAAGAAATGTTGTTAAGGGCCATGTGCTTAAAGTGATGCATGTAGACGATGATGGCAGTGATGCAAATCAACCCAGTGGAGCGGCAGAAGACGATGAATCATCAGAAGACGATAACCGACCCTTGTTCTTTCCCATAACCAAAACCAACCAAGCCAGTTTTGTTGCCAACACTTCAGCCAAGAAAACAGCTAAACCAAAAGGCAAACCCAAAGCAAAACCAGTGGCCAAACCAAACACAAAGGCTGCCATTGACGCAGGCGATGAAGAGGACGACGATGAGCAACCCTTGTTTACATCTTCGCAACAACAACAACAACAACATAATAACAAGCGCAAAATTGTCTTGGATGACTCATCAGATGAGGAGGACACTTATAATATGAGCCGATCCAGTGCATTAGCCTTGATTATCGAAAGAAAAAGAAAGAGAGAGCAAGCACTACGAGAGAAGCAAGAGAGATCCACTCGACCTCAGCCTAGCACAAGTCGATCCATCATTGAGGATTACGATGATGAGCCTGCACTGTTTGATCTTCAGAACAAGGACGAAAACGTTAAATTGGCTCTGTCAGACAGTGAACTTGCTGCTCTCAGCCTCCCCACGCAACAACAAAAAGATCCGTTCAGTGCAAACAATGAAGATCCAGTGGAAAATGTCCCATTAGCACTGACTGATGCCGAGCTCTTGGAATTGGGGTTACCTGCTAATAAGCCAGTCGATGTGACAAGAACAACAACAGCGGCTGCAGCAGCAGACGACACGACAGCAACAAACAACACCCAGCAACAACATTTAGAACAAGAAGAGCAGTTTTCTGATAATGAGCTATTTGACATTCATGAGGCCTGATGCTATTTATTGTATATTTACACGACTGTCACTTGCTGTAAACCCTCATTTGCATTTGTATCCAGGTCATCGTCTGCTGCAATGATTTTATCACCGAGATGTTTTTGATCTTTACCCAAATAAATAGCCTTTTTATCACCAGAGACGACTTTGCTGTCTATAATGACTTGCTCAACACATGAAGCGGGTGTATCGTACATGGGATCTAGTAGCAAGTTTTCCTACACAATGTGCAGACAATTCAGTATCTATTCAATCATCCTTCCTAACAGCCTTACCATAATACGGCGCAATCCTCTAGCGCCTGTCTTTTTTTCCAGCGCCATTTCGGCAATCTTTCGTAATGCAGCCTTGCTAAATCGAAGATTCACCTTGCTCAAGGCAAACAGGCCCTGGTATTGTTTTAGCAGCGAGTTTTTTGGTTCAGTGAGTACTCGAACTAGGTCGTCTATTGTCAGATTCTCCACGGATGCAATCACAGGTAATCTGCCCACGAACTCTGGGATTAAGCCGTACTTGACAAGATCTATGTAACATTAGTAAGTACCCGTACAGCCCAATCTACAGTACTATATATACTTGCCTGCTGGTTCTGTTAAACTCAAGGGATGTATCAGTTGCTTTTTTCCACCTGGTTGGCTTGGTGCAATTTCAATCGCGTCTTCATCAAGAGCTCTCATCATGGCATTGAATCCAATCGACTAACGCATTCATAGTGTCAGTATACATGCACACACACGCACACACACATATACACATATCTCAACATACGCCTTTGTTCATTCTATCTTGAATCGTCTTGTCTAATCCCACAAACGCACCACTGAGGATGAACAAAATGTTGCTAGTATCAACTGTATACGTCTCTCCTTTACCACTGGGGCCATGTCCACTACCACTGCTGCCACTACCCACTCCTCCCCCTCCCCCTCCTACTCCTCCTCCTCCTGCTCCACTGCCTCCAGACGGGCCGATGCCTATGGAGCTACCTGGTAATCCACCACGTCGACTGCTGTTGTTTTGTGAGCTACCGCTGCTACTATTGCTTGCCCCTTTGTCCGTGACATTGACGATAGTGCCCTCCAACATGCGCAACAAGGATTGTTGCACGCCTTCACCAGAGACATCTCGTGAAGCAGACATGGCATCTGATCTTCTCGAAATCTTGTCAATTTCATCAATAAATACAATGCCCGTTTCAGCACGCTTGACATCATAATCGCAGGACTGAAGTAGCCTTTGTATTACCAATTCGACATCTTCACCCACATAGCCTGCTTGCGTGAAGGGTGTTGCATCCGACATGGAGAAGGGGACTTGCAGTATCTGAGCCAGCGTTCTAGCCAGCAATGTCTTTCCTGAGCCAGTAGGTCCAATAAGCATGACATTACTCTTTTCGTAGACTGTTGCGGCATCATATGGGGGTGCAATTTGCTTCTTGATTGATTCGTGCGGTTTGGTGCGTGAGGTGGCATGTAAAGTCGTGGTAGGTGGATTTTCCCAATTACGACGATGTTGTTGTTGTTGTTGTTGTTGTTGTTGTTGTTGTTGTCGTTGTTGTTGTTGTTGTTGGTAATCTCCATTTGAACCAATTCTTTCTGCAGGTACTAGGTCGAGTCCCACGCTTTGAAGGGAGGAGGCATCACTAGGCAAAGTAGGGTGGTGATGCTCAGCATGCGGTTTATCTTGGTCGTATTGCTCTTGTTCCAGCTGCTGTTGCTGTTCAAGCTGACTTCGCAAGTTGGATCTCACTCTGCTGTAATGATTAAACACTGCAACGGCAAGCGTCTTTTTGGCTCTGTTTTGTCCAATTACGTATTCATTCAAATGCTTGACAATCTACGTAAACTACAATGAGTCGCTGCAACTATTATACGACAAGATAACACAACTTACTGTTCTGGGATCTGAAACTAGGGTGGAATCCAAATGATGCTGCCAATCTGATAAGCCATTGGGCGACGACGCAGTGGGAGACGAAGAGGGATCGCCAAAGCCAATGCTGCTATTGTAACTGCGCTTTATCATGCAACTCGTTGCTGATAGTGGAGTCAAGTGAATGGATCGAATGACAAGTCTGTTAGTGCATTTATACATTTTATTTTATATATAAAAAGAAGGAGAAAAGAAAGAAGAAAGAGTAATGCAAATATCATGCCCCCTTTTTCAACGTATGACTGGAGGAATATTCAAGTCTCGCACCTTCAATCTAATTTTGGCAACAAATGTAAGTTTCTCTAGCATTTTGCGCAATGCACCTTCTTTGCCCTTATGGAACTCTTTGAGCCAATCTGGACCGTATATCTCTTCTGCCGCCAGCATAATGTCTCGACATGACTTGAGGTCTTGATCGTCGTCATCGTCGTCGTAGGTGGCTGCTGCGAACATGGCCAGTGTGGGGTTGAATTCGCCATTGGGATCCAAATAGCGTTTCAAGTAGTCGTCTGAGCAATGGCTGTATTGAAATGTGATCAATGCCAGTAATGCCAGTGTGGATTGCTTCTTGTTGTTGGAACTGTCTGTGGACAAGACGGCCTGCAAATCCTCCAGTCCTGCCTCTAGCAATTTGTTTGCCTCTTCCTCCTCTTGCTCTTGTTCTTGTTCCTCTTGCTCTTGTTCTTCGTCGCTTGTATCACTGCTGTACAATCGGCTTCTTCCTGCTCTCCTCAATCTTAAGAATCCGCCCAAATTGTTGCTACTGCTGTTGAATACACGGTATAATGCATTAATCTGTCGAAGTATCCTAATGATGGCTGCCAAATCTTCCAAAATTTCACTGTTTGTTCTGATAGCAAGCCGATACATATCAACCCGTGATCTTGAGAATGACCCTGTAACTGTATCGTCATCTTGATCCTCTTGGTCTTGGCTATTACTAGTATCATTGCTGTTGGTGGTGGTAGTAGTAATTATGAAGCTATCATCATCATCATCTTCCTCTTCTTCTTCTTCTTCTTCCTCTTCTTCTTCTTCTTCTTCTTCTTCCTCCTCCTCCTCCTCCTCCTCCTCCTCCTCCTCCTCCACCTCCTCCTCCTCCTCTTGGCTGTTTTGCTCTTCTTCATACTGACTGGCATGTCGCTGCAGTAATGGCTGTAATAGTATTCGTCGGTTGAATCTCTGTCGTCTCCTCAACGACCGAGAGTCCAAAATGGAGAAATCACTGTCATCAAAGTCTGAAAAGTATTCAAATCTCGATGTGAAACGACTATTACTACTTGCATTGTTTATCTGTGATTTTCTTGTGTGTTTAGTTTCTGTCTCTCTGATTTCTATCCACATACTCTCTTTACATTTTCATGGTTTGTTGTTGTCAGTATAAGCGGCATGTTGGGCTTGTTGGCTTTAGTAGTATAAACGAGAAAAAAAGAGAGAGAGAGAGAGAGAAAGGGAGCAGAAATGAGATTTAAATTTATTTTATTTACACTGCTGGAGCAAAAGAAAAAAGAAGGTTTACTTGTAAACAAATTGCATAAAAGAGAGCCGAATAAGATGTTTGAGATGGATGCGTTTTTTGAATGAGTGATTAAAAATAGAAAGAAATAGTAGTGGACACTTGTCTAATAGCCACCGCGACCACCACGGCCACCACCAAATCCACCGCGACCACCGCCACGGCCACCTCCAAATCCTCCACGACCTCCACGATCACCGCCGAATCCACCACGGCCACCGCGAGATCCACCACGACCGCCGCCAAAACCACCACGGCCACCTCCACGAGATGATCCACCACGACCACCACGAGCAGCACCACCACGGCCTTGTTGACCAGTAGGCTTACCAACTAGCAATGATAAGGTAAATATACATGTCAGATCAAAAAAAAAAAAAAAAAAAAAAGGATATCTTACCTTTTCCAACAACCTTGGGCTTGGGCAAGAAACGCTCAAGGGGCAAGAGTTTGTCGGTACCAATAAAGACCTTGTCATCAGCCTTGAAAGACTTGGCAATCATGCCTTCTTGCATCTTGACAGTAAAATACACTTCATTCAAGGGACCTAAAATTTCATCAACCTTGCCAATTTGAGATTTGTTTTCGAGGAAAATGGGTGCATTAAAGTAGGGGATCTTGGGGTTGATCGATTTGCAAACCATCTCACCCTCACAAGCGTGAACAAAGGCACCCATGGCTAATGTTATCAAGTGTCAATGTCATGTGCCATGTGCTGATTGCATTGCAAACTTACGGACAACCTCAGCAGGAGGGCCTTGATTGAATCCACCACCACCGAAACCACCACGGCCACCACCACGACCTGTCAATGTCAAAAATCATCATGTCAATCATTTCATTCGAGTGCTTGTCTTGACAGATATTTACCGCCACGGAAACCACCACGGGCACCACCGCCACGGCCACCACGTTCTCCAAATCCACCTTTACCCATATTTAATAATGTAGTTGATAGAAAAGTTTGAAAATTGGGAAAAATACAACTGAAAAGAATTGAAAATATTTTTTCTCCTCTTACACTGGCCTTTTTTTGCCTGCTAATTGGCTGGCTCTGCTAATAACAGTTGCCCTCGACAGCTGAATGAAGCCTACCTACTTGGCCAAGCCTCAACATCGTCACTATGGACGGTCACTGAAAATGTTGTTTTAATCCAGGTACTGTAGGAATAGTGAATAGCGTGCATTCAAGCTGTCAAAGTGACGGAATGAACATGAATACTTGAGCTTTATAGATAAAACTTGGGATGATTTTTTTTTTTTTTAAAAAAAAAAAAAAAAAAAAAAAAAGTCATTTCTTCTCAATGTATCATTCAAGAGCATTTCAGTAACAGAGTTGCCTTATATACAAATGACACTTTTACAGTGAATGGCATACTATCAAGGAGTGATGACAAGCCTTAACGTGACACTAAGATGCTGTTATTATCCGATACATGTCAAGTATCCAAGATCATATTGAGTAACATGTCCATCAGCTCTTGATCTGCTGGATGTTGTTTGCCTCATTCTCATATTTCAACACTAAAAAATTGTGTCTGTCTGATTCAGTCGTGTAGAGCCATGAGATGACTAGTAGAACTGCTATAATTGTAGCTGTCAGCCTGAAGCCTGAATGCCAAATGAGCTAATTTAGATTACTGAATGCGAATCAAGACAAGCTAGTATAACGATGCAGATAAAGATGGCATACATTAAAATACCACTGAACAGAATAACCCAGATAAAAGAGCATATATATATATATATATATATATATATATCGATGGCATGTGCTTATATCGAAATCAACTCATCTGTAGCTATTGCTGACCCACGAGCAGAATGCCATGTCAAAGTGAGCCAAACGTCAAATTTAAGTTATGAATACTTTCTGCCTGATTAAACTTTATCCGCGTCTTTTTGGCCGGACTAGCAAGTTTTTTTTTTTTCTCTCTCAGAGGCGCGAGAGGAGAGCAAGAGGCTATTTCAAGTGTATGGCAATGTGAATCATCGATTTCCCCCTCTTATTATCCTTATTCATAATGGTAAGCTTACTACTGCGTCCATCCATCCATCCATCCATCCATTGCATACATGCTAATTGACTCTACTTTTTTGTAATCATCCATAGGCTAAGCGCACAAAGAAAGGTATATAGCACACCATCTCGCACAACGCAACGCATCGGATGCAGACATTAATGCTTTGTTCATCTTTCTAGTCGGAATCACCGGTAAATACGGTACCCGTTATGGTGCCTCTCTCAGAAAGACCGTAAAGAAGATGGAAATCACTCAACATTCCACCTACACTTGTACCTTCTGTGGTAAGGATGCTGTCAAGCGTACTGCCGTTGGTATCTGGAAGTGCAAGGGCTGCAAGAAGACCATGGCTGGTGGTGCTTACACTGTCTCGTAAGTCTTTCTATCGTGAAGCTGTTTGTGTCATAATACTAACATGATCCTTAGCACTACTGCTGCTGCCACCGTTCGTTCCACTGTCCGTCGTCTCCGTGAATTGGCCGAGATCTAAATTACGTATTTACATCTTTTACTATTACTTGCAACAAACGACAGTATTATTTGAATAAATGTATTGGACGAACAAACTATCTAGCAAATGATCTACGTGTTGAAGCAGATGAAGAGACGATTCATATCAATAGTGGACGGGAGCGATGTATAATCATCATGTTGGAACGACAGCATCTGATGATTGATTGAGCCAAAGGGGGGGATCAGTTCGAGATGGAGAATAGGATTTAGTTGTAATCAGCAATAAGAGGATTATTACCGCACTCACAATAGCACGCAGAGCTGGTGTCTGACATTGGACAAAGTGATGCTATAGGCATCCAATTGCTTGCAGAGTGTGTAGTTGATAACGACTGAACTGGATGACTTGTCTGATGGATTTGACAGACAGAATTAGGCTTTGAAATGATTCTGATTTAGTCTAGGCATTGAATGCCTGTATGAATAAGCAAATCAACATGGCAATGCCATTGCTGAATGCACTTGAGTTGGCAGAGAAGAGGTTAATTCCTACCAACTCGAGATACTACTGTATCAATGCGATTTTCCATCTCACATGTTGAGCCTGACTGTAATATAAAGATGTGGGACTGGCCGTCTCCAATGCTACTAAGCAATTTGCAACATTCGAGTGAATGCTGTAAACAAGAAGCACAAGCCAGGTCACCATCTATGACCATATAGCCCATGATCAATGAAAAAGAGCTTGCACATTGGAGAGAAGCTCTCTTGAGGGCTTGAGAAGCGACTTCTTCCGTGACGTTTAAAATACGCTTTTTTTTTCTAATTTGAAAGCTATCCTCGACCATGGATCACCCTTTTCATTCCTTGGTACACTTACACTACAACGATGGATGACTTACGCGATACCGCCATGGGAGAAGTAGCTGATGGCCAGGAAGCACCCTTTGGATTGACTACTGGCGAGTGGAAATTTTACCAATTTGTTCGCAATTCTCCAAAGGTAACATCCACCGCTTTTTTTTTTTTCTCGTTAAACATCATGTCCTTAACTGCGCTTTAGGGTGTCAAATTCACAGATCGTCCTAATGATATGGATGTGCAAGAATCATATTTGGCCATGAACTCGTTACTGAAAAAGGTACCATGAACAACACCCATTTCAAGCACATGGGTAACTGATTTTGACCTCTTGTGATAGAATACCTTGGAAGTGATTTCATTAAACGGCGAAAACATGCTGAAAGCAATTGATTTGAGAGATGCTGAAAAGTAAGAAAAGACAATATAAGCTTGGAGTCCTTTTTTTTTTAAAAAAAAAAAAAACTTGTTTGAAACAACTCGTTTAGGGCAAGCAAACTGAACGACGATGCTCGTCTTGTGTACAATACCATTCGATCTGCCGGCAACAATGGCATCTGGACCAAAGATTTAAAGAAAAAGACCAATCTTCATACCATTGTATTGAATCGCACTCTCAAGTCTCTGGAACAGAAGCAGGAAATCAAGGCAGTCAAACATGTCAAATATCCAACTCGTAAAATCTACATGCTCTTTAGTCTGTCGCCATCAAGCGAGGTTACGGGTGGCGCATGGTATACCGATCAAGAATTAGATACTGATTTCATTGACAGCTTGAAAGCTGCTTGCCTAAAGTATATTATGTCGAGAGTAAGTTGGATATATATATATATGTGTGTGTGTGTGTGTGTGTGTGTGTGTGTGTGTGTGTGTGTCTATGTGTGTGCTGATTAGAAACTATAGAGTTTTCCCCGAGTGGAGGGTGTCAATGATGCTGTCTTTGGTGCTGATCATGAACACTATCCTACAGCAACAGAGGTGCGACGTTTCATCACAGAATCCCGTATTTCGTCCATTGATTTGTCTGTAAAAGATATCACCAGTTTGCTGGATGTGTTGGTCTATGATGGAGTCGTGGAGAAAAAACTTCCTTTCATGGCAGGCATGGAAGATTTCAGTGATGATGAGGATGAAGGAGATGAAGGAGTGCAATGGTCCTACAAGGCTATTAGAAAGGTGGCCAGCCGCCTACCTACAGAAGCTCTCACCGAGATTCCTTGTGGCAAATGTCCTGTTTTCTCATTTTGTATCGAGGATGGCCCTATTTCGCCCATGAATTGTGAGTATTTCAAGACTTGGTTGGATTGGTAGAAAATAGGGGCATTGGCAACTCTGAGAGGCCATTCATTGTAAATAGTTTTAGAGCAAAAAAAAAAAAAAAATATCTAACAAAATAAAGCGATTCTTCATATCATACATTATTCTGCAATTCACGCAAGGTGCCATTCCCACTGCAGATGCAACATGATGCTCACATGCACACAATATACGGCACTGTTGTCAATGGAACCGAAATGATACCAATTTGTAGCACGAGATCAGTTTGAAACAGTAATGAATGTACAGTGGGCTATTTATTGCGATTAAGAAAGTTATTGGTTTCAATTAATACAGGTGATCAACAACAAGGCTAAGAATATACACTAGGTCAAGCCCAGAGAGATTTACTTGTCTCCATGATGGGTGTCATTTTGCGTTTGGATGGCTGAATGGGTCTATATAACAACAATGATAAAGGATGAGGTTTCATATACACATGTTGGGCTGCCATCTGGCATTCGATACGTACGTAGACTTTGATCCAGACAACTGCATTGGAAGCAACTCGTTCTCAATGCGCCTGTTCCATTCACCCACTGTTGGCTGGTATTCATATCTGCGTTCACGAATGTAGATTCTCTTGCGGCTGCTGCTCCAATGCGAATCAACGCTGTGGCGACGATGCTGCTCCATGTAGCGATGTCCATTCTCAAACAAATGGACCATGTCCTCCACTTGAGACCGTTTGCTGCCAGCATAATTGTTGCTGTCATCAGGGCTCCAATGGTAGTTGCTACTGCCAAATGAGGAGATGGACGAGGTGGGAGAGAATAAAAGCTGAGGTACATCCGGATAAGCTGACTGAGGGTGGTATCGAGATTGGCTTAATTGAACATCCTTGTCATTGGTGGTATCAATGTGTAGATTTGGCTTTTTGTACCGAGGCATCGTGGGAGCAGGTTCATGAACAATGGTATCCTTGACGTCTGATGGTGTGATAAAGAATGGGTATTGTGTGTGGTAGAGCGTAATGAGGGAATCTATCGAGTATATAAAGGTCAATTGAATGCACAGTGTATCCACTATTTACATAGTACCAAGATGGTAGCATAGCAAGATGCCCAAGAGATGGTTCATAATTGAAACAAGGTGAAAAGGACTGGAGCAGAAGAGAATGTGTAAATGGAACTGTATCCTCTTAAAATAGACTTTAATGTACCTGTTTAATGCTTGTTGTGTAAAGATGAATTTACAAGGTTCAATCATTGTCACACTCAAATGAGTGATTTGCTGTTGACTGTAGAAAGGAGTGTGCAGAGGAGAAAGAACAAAAAGAAGGGAGTGAAACAAGAAGAAGCAGGGAAAAAGGGAAAGAGACCCTTTATAAATCTAAAATCTTACCAAATTGGCTCTGGAAGATCTCACCTTGCTCTTTACAAAGTCAGTTTGTAGATGCGAACATCCCATATAGACGCTGTCAAATCCAGAGCAGAAGCGATGAGTAGCATGGCCAATATTCATACTGTGTCCATTGATGTCGTTGCTAAAGCCGTCAACCCATCGTGTTGGTGTATGCATCATGTAAGCACTCATGTATGATGCAAGAACAGAACACAGACCTACGACCAAAACAATGATCTGGTGTGCCACCATCATCATCACAAGCCAATCATGCTATCGAGAGACTATCTGAGAGAACCTGATCTTGAGTGAAGAAGAAGAACGACGAGTCTCAAGTTATTTCAACGAGAATACTCACATTCGACTCCATCCTCAAATGAGATTGATGCACTCAGAATCTGCCAACTGCCAACTGTCAACGAAATTACAACCGCTATTCCGATAACATGTATTGTGGCGGTGAACCAGGCTGACTGGCATTGTCGCATATAGAAATGCTCAACAAAAGTACAACAACGTGTTCCGGTTAAGCGATAGCTTTTTCATATTCATGATCCCCATTCAATCAGCATCCCAACCATCATTGTTGCCATCAGAAAGGCAATTTGGTCAGCTAGTAGCACTACTAGATGGAGATTCAATTATATATAAAATATAATGATCATTCGATACTTCTTTAAGCTTTCTAAGAGTAATTTTCGAGGCGCTTCCAATGATGCTAACTGTAACATGCGTTTTGAATGAAGATTGAAAAACTCAATCAAATGTGAAAGGAGGGTTTGGCGAGAACGCCCAGATTTTGCATATGAAGGCCTCACAAAAGTAGTTTCAGGGGTTGCTTTGGACTTGAAGAAACAATTTCGATTTAAACTATACCATAGTAGAAGTCTCCACTTTGAAGGTGAAGAACGCAATCGTTTGATTTTTTCAATGCAAATCAAGAGGTAGGTTTGGAGTCGATTTTTTGGCGATCCCAAAAAGTTGAGCAAACGTGTCAGGAAGTGATTGCTACTCGAGTACAGTTGTTTGGGGTTATTCTGGCGGCTCAGAAAGGTCTACATGTCAAGATATTGAGGCTTGAAAGCTTTTCGAATTTGTCTGTGTTTTACACACTTGCTTGTACATGCATATTTACATGTTGCCTCTGACGATGGAGAAGAGTCTACTACATGACTTGGCTGGCTGGCTGGCTGGCTGGCTGGCACCACGACTTGATCGCGTCCTTTATATTTTATAAAGTCAAATGTCGCGTTTAAATATTTTAGCAAAAAATAAAAAATAAAAAAAAAATCCAAAATCCTTTTCTTCTCTTCTTTATACAGTATTGAAACATGAGTACGCTCTTTGAAGATGTCAAAGTGATTTATAGCTTTTCTGACGGAAAGACTGTCGTTGCCTACAAGCCTGATGGAAAGTACGTAACGATCGCATACAGCTAACATGTGTCACTGATTGACAAGTCCTTTAGGGAAGCTGTTATAGGTGGTGCTGATGGTGCAGGTCTCCATATCTATGAAACAGAATCTATAAACGAAGAGTATCAGCATGTAGAAATTTCTGAGCATGTGGAAGATGTTACCTGTGTGGCGACCAATGTAAGTAGAGAGTCAGTTCATCATGGCTCCTAGTTGTGCTCACTCGTATGATGGACAGCAACATGGTGCGTTTGCATCTGGAGGCACTGACGGCATCGTGAACCTCTATACCAAGGACAACAAGTTTGATCGTATCCTGGTTCGCAGCACCACACCTGTTCGAGACATTAGCTTTCATCCGGACGGAACCAAGCTTGCCATTGCAGCCGAGTAAGTTTCCAGCGACCCGAATTTGACTCACTGACTGACATTGATCACACCCACAGTGATCCTGTTATTCGCATAGTACTGTGTGCTGACAATTCCAAGATTGTCAACCTGGAAGGACACAAGCACCTTGTCAAATCAGTCAATTATGATCCTTTTGGCAGTTACATCATCTCGTCTGATGTGCATGGCAGCATTCACATTTGGAACGTATCACCTCAGGAACCAGCACCTCGTTGTGTCAAAGTCTTGCAAGAGTACAGCTATGCATCCGACATGGACTCCGTATTGCAAGCAACAGTAGCATGGCATCCAGCTAATAGTAGCAGTTTTGCATTCCCAGGAACCAACAATGATGTTCGCGTATTCAAAGCAGACATTTGGACACCTGAATACACGCTGGACGGACAACACACATCTAGTGTCATTACATTGGCTTGGTCTCCTAATGGCTACTATATCGTCAGCTCTGCAGAAGACAACACGTTGGTCATTTGGAATACAAAGACAAAGACGCCTGTTCGCGTTGAAATCACACCGACTGCTATCACTGGCATTGCATGGCACCCCACTGACAACGAGATTTCTTTGACTGACATGGATGGCAACCTTAGAATCTGGAAAGAGCCTATTCCTACCGACAATAGCAACTATCCACATCCAGCAAAGATGCGCAAAAGGCCTACTTCAGCTGGTGTCCCTGCATCTCAGCGAGTCTTTGACACCGATAAAATCATGCAGCCCAGCAGTTTACCGCCTCTCAGCTCAAGCCTTTTCGCAGACGAAGAAGCTCTAGATGATGGCGATGAACTAGGAGACGATGTAGACATGATGGATGAGTTGGGTGAAGGACTAGATGAAGAGGAGGAAGAACTGGGCGAAAACGATATGGGCGATTTTGTCATTGACGATGATGGTGCTGGTTATGTGGAAACAGCTGAACAGGCGAGCGAACAAAAGAAGCAGTCGAGACTCAACAAGGGTTCATCAGCCATGGCAAATGCAGTGCTGGTCCAACGCCAGCGAAAACTAGAAGCAGCCTTTGACCCTCCCACCACGTTTCAGCCAGGCGAAACCCCATATCATAAACCAGAGCCCAACACAACATTTGCACCCAAAAACGGCGAGCGAAGATACATGGCTTACAATTTGGTCGGTGCCATTTCTACCATTTACGAAGACGGACACTCTATCATCAATGTCGAATTTCACGACCAGTCTGAATACCGCAACTTTCATTTCACTGACGTGTTAAATTTTACCATGGGTGCCATCAGTTCTGCAGGCACAGTGTACGCCGTGGAAGGCAGAGAAGCTGTAAAAAAGGCCGAAAAGGTGGGCAGAGGAGAGAACGATGATTTGTTTGATTCAGACGACTCAGAAGATGACCAAGAAGAAACGACGCAAATCAATTCAACGCTGTATTTTAGACCAAACAATAGCGGATCAGAAAAAGACTGGACCCACCACATGCTGCCTGGGGAAGACGTAGTCAGCATTGCCATCAACCGTGTTTCCGTGATAGCGACTACTTCTTTAGGCTATGTACGTATTTTCTCAATCTCTGGCGTGCAACGATACATCTTTTCATTAGAAAACGTAGTGTCAGTAGCAGCCATGACTGATTTGGCTCTGCTTGTACACTCTGCTGGTCCGGCCTTTGGACACCAACAAAACCTAAATTTTATGCTGCTGAATACAGAGACCAATGAAGTGTTACAAAAAGACAAGGTGCAACTGACGACAGACAGCGAACTCAACTGGATTGGGTTTTCAGAGACAAATCAGGCTGCAACATTTGACTCTGCCGGTATTTTACGCCTCTTGTACCATCAACGTCGACCTTTTCAAAGCCGTTGGGTGCCCGTGTTTGACAGCAAGGCCTACGCTGCTGCAAACCAGAGAACAGAGACATATTGGCCTGTGGGTGTCTTGCGAGACAGACTCATGTGCGTGGTGCTGCGTGGTGCCAATACATATCCCTTCTTTCCGCGTCCACCTGTCAAGGACATTCCATTGCAACTTCCCTTGCTAGAACAGTCTACCGAAGTGGGTCAATTGGAAGAGACCGTTTTACGAATCCAAGCTTGCAATGCGCACGAAAAGGACGAAGCAGAGGCCACCAACACAGAAGAGGACTATGCAGACACATTTAGAGAGGCTGATTCAGATATGGATGTGGCGCTTCTCAAGCTAATCAACATTGCTTGTAAAACGGAAAAAGTGTCAAAAGCATTAGACATGACCTACATTTTGCACTCGCCAGATTCCATTGACAAGGCCATCAAGATTGCCGTTCATTATCGCTATACCAGCCTGGCAGAAAAGATGACTAGTATCAAGCAAGCCAAATTTATCAATGAAAGCTTGCCTACACCGTCTACATTGGCCGATAGCTTGGCGGCGTTGCCTAGTATGTATGCATCTACACAACCCACATTAGAAGGCGATCTTGCCTTTGTCAAGCGAGAAAAGGCAAACGACAGCAACAAACGAAACATGTATGATTCTGAAGATGAAGATATGATGGACACACCTTTTTCCAAAAAGTCAAGGCCCTTTTCATTTTCTACACAGCGCTGAAATCGTAAATAAAATTTGCTTTACATACATCATGTTACACTGTCTGTTTTGACGTTCGCATGTAAATGGTGTGTTTTTCTCTCCTTATTTTCGTACGAGTATATAAAAGAGCACGCTCTCTCCTTGATTTTATTTTTCTTTTTTTTTTTTTTTTTTTTTCCTTTCATCCTTGATACACCTACCCACAAAGAGATGCCCATCAATAAAACCAACTTTCAACCCAAAGATGCGCGAGCTATCAGCATGTCGTATCGAGACGAAGACGAAGATGACATGAGCGATCTATTCCCCAACGAGAAATCGTCACCGTCCAATGGCAGAAAGATGATGACTGGAACGCAAGCACTGGTGGAATTCCTCAAAACGACAAGCCCAGAAGAGTTTCAAAGGAGTACGCCCGAGAGATCAGTCAATAACCTCTTTTCCAGGATCAGAAAACCCAAGAGAAATACAGCTCCACCTCCGCCAGCAAGCATTATGCCCACACCATCCATGTCAAGCCGGTCTGTTCCTTCCAGTACTTCCTCTTTGCCTGTAACACTTGCTTCCACACTTACAGCACCTACATCTTATCACGGCAGCGACATTATCAATAACCATATGATCCATAGAAAAAACTACATTGAAATTGTGCCTCAGCAACAGCAGCAACAGCAGCAGCAGCAGCAGCAGCAGCAGCAGCATCTAAAGATGGCGGCAGCCAAGAGTGCTGGCAATAGTCGATCTCCTTCCTTTGATACAACCTCAATCCAGTCATTTGTGTTACGTTCCAACAGTACTAGTACCAACAACAACAACAACAAGGCTGGAGAGCCCATTCTACCCAATAAAAAGAGAGAATCCAGCCTGTACAGTGGCTCACTTCGTCATTCTGTATCCGTCAAATCTCAACTGAGCGCTATCGCCAATTCAAATCGTGCTACGAGGCCGCTGGTCAGAGATGTAAGCCAAAGACTGGACGTCAAGGCAACGGAAGAGTTTCTATCTTGCGCGGACGGCATGGATTCCATTGAATCAGCCTTGTTGCACAGGCTGGAGAGAATGCGTCTTGTTGATGGTGATATTCCCAGTGATCAGGTAGCTGCTGGCTTGGCTACAGAGCATGTGCGAGCCTTGGGTATAACGCATACATTGGACAATCAACACCATTTGGATCTTGAAAAGCGAAAAGTAAGACATATGCAGGTCCAGACCGAAGACACAAGCATGAGTAGCAGTAATGAGCAGCAGCCCGTGACACACCACACACCTGGGCCCCTGAATGAATCAGCCAGCACGCCAGAGGATCAAGAGACAAGAGCGAAAAGAGCTGAAGCAGCTTTGGAGGATGCGTTGGATCATTTTGAAGTGATTAGCGGGCTGGCTTACAAGAAGCTACGAGAATTATGGGAAGAGAAGATGAGATGGGAGAATGCTTGTATGGAGCTGAGAGATAGACTTGTGGTCATGGAACAGAAGCGATTTCCATTTCAGCAGCAGCAGCAGCATCAACAACAGCAACACCAAGACGACCATGGCAATGGCATCATGCGCGATGATTACTTTTTGGAGGAAAATGAGGAAGAAGATGAATTGGGATTATCAGAGTTTCCCTGTAGTGAAAATTAGTACTGTAGGATTAGGAATAAAGCTGCCAATTTATATGCATGTATTAGTAGCGATGATGTTCGATTTTGACCTTGCCCAGTGCAAGATGCTGTTTTGGCGGCAGTCAAGTGCAGAGAGATAAGGGTTTTGTTGTGTTTGGCAAGATGTCTCTTCTCGGAAACTTTCATCTTTTATTTCCAACAACCATCCCGTTGAGTGCTGTCAAAGATCAAATGTTTTATAAACAAGTGGAGAAACAAACATCTGCGTTTGAGGAAAGAAGGGGACAAGTTTGGCATCGAGGTGGAGGTGCTTGCGACAAAATGATGTGCAAGAGGGAAGAGAATGAACCAAGACGCCAACTTGTACAACAGGAGGAAGCTACCACGAAATGTAGAGATGTTGGTAGTGAAGAATGACACGTTGAGACAAACACGCTCAGAAAATGCACGAAGACTACGAAGCGGATGATGGACAGAATTCCATTGGACTTGGAAGCCACGGGACTCTGTCTTCGCCCTGTGGTCCTGCACAGTGTCCCCATCGCGTTGATTTGTGTCCTCATTACCGTGGTTTAGGATGCGTTAAGAGCAGAGATGCCTGATGAAAGAATAAGTGATAATTTGTTGTGGTTTATAGTTGAATTCGACTTATATGAATGTCGACATCATCAGAGAGGCCAGGCATTGGAGGGACCAATTTGCTTGCAGTCCTTTATCATGTACTAGAGAAAGAGGGCTGACATTGCCTTGCACAAGGGTAACTATTGGGTCGCTGCATTGTGCGTTGGATGCAAAAATATTATTCTCGGTGTTTTTGGTTTTGTGTGGTTCCGTGCTTATCCATATCAACTATGGATGGGCTGGCTTGGGTGTTGTCTTGCTGTTGGGTATCAGAAGATCGACACTTGCAGTAAATACGTGGTCTAGCTGTTTACCCTTGATACCCAATTAGCGTCGCTTTATAACTATATTGTCCTCATCAGTCGGCTCTACGACGATGATTGCCATCGCGATAGTGCCTTTCTCAAAGGAAAGCGTTAGTAAAACGGCGTGCCACGCTGATTATGTTACCATTAAGCAAGTTCACAATGCAAGGGCTGAAATGCGAAAAAAAAACTAAACGCAATAGAAGATATGGAGATGTTGTTGTCTGTGGTGTCTGCCAATGTTTGTAGCTCACAAGCATGCGTCATTGTCTACTTTCTCGAGTGCTCAACAGCTGAGATATACCAGGACACTGTAAAAAAGCCAATACGGTTTGGAAAGAGTCTTCTTATATCATGGCAAGATGTCAGCAGAGGAAGGAAGAAAGAATCAGCTGGATTTTATGTAGAACGTAGATAAAGAAACTGCTATGTGTTGTACATAAGCCTTTGCGTTAGGCATTGACAAACCTAATGTAAATGCTGTTATACACTATAGCATTTGCGACTCCATCTTGGACGACGGTAGCGTCTATCATCTCATGAGCCCTGCACTTATGCCAGCAAATGATACACGCCCAAAATTTGCTCAAATATATATATATATCTATTCGATGGGGAAAATGAGCTCCAAAACCGACTGAATGTTGCTGGAAACCCCAACATTGAGAGAACCACTATGCGTCTCCTCCAAAATATGATGCACAAAGTCAATCCTTTTGTTGACTTATTTAAAACCATGGAGGAGCTATCAGTTGAGCAACCTGGAGGAATTCAGAATATACGAATGATATTTCGTTCAGAGGATTCTCCTGATCCAAGAAGGTACAATAGACCTAGAGTTCCAGAAATTGGTGTACTATTGTTTGATGGCGACGATGAAAGCAGCAACGAACAGCCAAAAAATCGTGATGTCGTTTTAAGATTGAAAGGTTCTGGTGATAACCGAACAAGAATTAATGAAACCAATCAATTCTTTGATCCTCTTCAGTACGTTTTGATTGATGACTGATCGTACAATTTCCAGGCATAGTGGAAGAATCAACTATTGATAATCGTTGGGTCGTGCCTCATAATCTTTATTTGGTCGCTAAATACAACGCACACATCAACATGGAGATTTGCAGCCAGGTCAACTCGGTCAAATACATATACAAATATGTATACAAGGGCCATGACAGAGCACAGGTATACATGGGTTCATCTGCTCAAGATGATCATCAGGATGAGATCAAAAAGTTTCTTGATGCAAGATATGTCTCGGCATCTGAAGCCTGTTGGAGAATCATGTCTTTCCCTATGCATAAGGAATACCCCCCTCTACACAGCGCCTGGATATCCATTTGGAGAACGATAGTAGGGTGTACTTTAACGAGAACGAAAGTTCTGACCAGGTCTTGAACCGTACACTTCCAGAAACAACCCTGACAGCTTGGTTCAAGTACAATCTCGAAAATCCTGAAGACAACGAAACTAAGCAAACTTTGTATCCAGACTTCTGTGAAAAGTACGTTTTTCATAAACAACAGAACCCAAGAGTTTGGAAACCTAGACGTTCAGGTTTTGGTGGAGCCATTGGCAGAGTCTACGCTGTATCTCCAAAAGCTATTGAAAAGTATCATTTAAGAATTCTGTTGTATCGAATTCCAGGAGCAACATCCTTTACCTACTGGGAAAACCTTCATCATCAATGCTTTGTTAGATGCCGTTCGCAAACAAAATCATATTGCAATTGCAGTTGCTTCAACAGGAACGGCGGCTCTGCTGCTGAAAGGAGGTCGAACTGTCCACACTACCTTTAAAATCCCCATCGACACCTCATCTACAACAATGTGTGATTTTACACCATCCTCTGAAATAGCTCAATTCTACCAACTTGCTGGATTTGCTAGCTGTTGTGTTTCCAAACATCAGCAATAGCTCAACGATTGACCAATATTTTGCGAAGCGTGTTATATTGACCCCCAAAGAACCAAGATGTCTCAGTCATAAACAATCTGCTACTTGACAACTTGCCGGGAAGAAAGTTCAGTTATTACAGCTATGATCAAGTCTGTGATCCTCAATTTCGAATGCAGGTGCCTCTCGAGCTTCTCAACTCCATAGAATCTGGCTCTCTGCCTCCACATGAATTGGTTTTGAGAGTTGGGTCTTCAATAATGATCTTGAGAAACTTAGATCCTTCAGCTGGATTATGCAATGGAACTAGGCTAATCGTGAAATCTTTGGGTGTTAGAATAATTGAAGCCACCATTGCCACAGGGCCAAAAGCAGGTGACGTTGTGTATATCCCAAGGATCAAGTTTATTACAGAAGCCAACGGTAGAATTCCATTCGACTTTAGTCGCACCCAGTTTCCTATGAGATTGGCCTTTGCCATAACTATAAGCAAATCGCAGGGCCAAACATTATCTAACGTTGGACTATATCTTTTCTCTCACGTCTTCTCGCATGGTCAGTTGTACGTCGCAATGTCAAGGGTCAGTAAGCCATCATCGATAAGAATCATGGTTGATCCTGATATTTCTGTACTGGAAAACCTACCTGGCCACTATTATACACACAATATAGTATACTCTGAGGTCTTTCAATAAAGTTTTTATATCTCAAACTACATCCATTTTTAATCATCAGGCCGTTAGTCTCATCATTTCTCAACAAATATAAAGCTTTGTTTAATGGTGGAGTAAGCCTGCGGCAGCACGACGTTGTATACACCGCGAAGCGGTGTTGTGCAACTAGCCATATTTAAAGGAAAATAAAGCTCGATTCTGGAGTTAGTACCACATTGGAGGACTCGTCTTCGCCAACGTTCGTATTGGGTAGGCTTTTTATTTTCTTTTATTAATTTAAAAGGACATAAATGAGTCGGGAAAAAAATGTCTGAAAAATTATTTATACAAGATGCTTGGTCATTTTTTTTACGTTCGTTGAATGTGTTCTTGAGTGTGTTGTAGCTCTTATATGTAGAAAAATAACCTTCAGCCAAACCTTGGTCGTAACAAGCTTTCCAATTCATCTGTTTGTGGGGTTTTATGTATTCTTCTTTAAACTCTCTAGTGATGAATTCGTAATAATAAGTCGATGATAATAATCAGTTGCCAACTGTATCTAAAACGAAAGCAAAGAGCTTCTTTATTACAGGGCATCTAGCTTCTTGCTTAAATATGGTAGATCCCTGGTCAATGACTACTACGTTGAGATGGTATATAAATAGCAGGCCACTGGGGCCTTATGGATTGTTGGTATAGCTTGTTGAGAGGCCACCTAAGTCGATATGTTTCATGTAGTGTAGGTAGATCTCGATATCTTGACATTGGGGAGATTGAATGTATTGTAGTTCCTGAGGCACCTGTGCACACACAATTGACTGGACTTGTAAACATAGATGTGATGTGATACGATAAACATCATCTATGCTGCTACACTGTAAAAGGTGGCTTGAGGAGAAAGTGAATGTAGCCTAAGATGCATGCTTGTATGCAACATCAACTCAGATCAACTAATGTCTAATCATGCTAAAAGACAACTCCAGCAAGCTAATCATGATTTAGCTCTGTCTGGATGAATAATTAGACTCTCATCCGAAGTACCCTGATCTATCCTTTCTATAAGGATAATTAATATCGATCTAGTAGCATGTATCCGATAGGTACAGTCTCCTTAGTCTATATTAATAGTACATATCTGAGTGTATATCGCTAAGCATACATCTTTAGCATGTATCTGGATATATGGCATGTCTATAGCATATCGTATGCATGTCTATAGCATGTCTCATATATAGTACAAGTCTGTAGTACATAAAGTATCTGTAGCTAGTATCACGGATATAAGCATGTGTCTTGTAGCGTGGATCATGAAGTGCACATCTGAAGCAACAAGCTCATATTGCATTAATCTTGGCGCCTATCCAGATATGGTAAACATCCGTAGTCAATGTCGGAATACAAGTATAAGTCTACAGTGCCATCCATGTCCGTGGTGCCATCTATAGCCTATATCTTATATAGTATGAATCTTATAGTACTAGCGTATCTGAAGTCCATATCTTCTTATAGTATAAATCGATATCGTACATCTAATCCAGCGTACATACAGTTTATATCTAAATCTGGTAACTGGATGAACTGTCGGAATGCAGATCATAGTGGATGTATTCCACAGATAGCACTACTTTCTCTCATTCAAACGATATATATATCTCGACTTTGTATACAAAGAAATGACTAAAAACTAATACAAAAAGACAATTTTTTTAAACGAACGGGACAATTTTCCCCCCTACAGTAGCTGATTGACTATGTTATGTCAAGATACAATGTAAAGTTGAATCTGCCAAAGAGTTACGCTTTTATTCAGAATGCATTTATATACTTTCCATTATGCTAAGGTTTGTAGCATGATGAGCTATGATACAAATAGGCTTATTATGTACGCAACAAATGATTTGTAAATCATGATTAGCATGATTTACTCGAAGGGCCTAAGAATAACCTAAAACCTTTAGTGCGAGACCTTGTTATGACATTTGATATAACAGACTGGACTAACTGCAGATTAATTTACAAAACCATTCTTCGCTTTTATTTTCAAATAATGACCTTAAGCTACAGCACATGTAATGCAAGCATTGACTTAAAGATATTCAGTAAATGCGTGTTTACGCAGCTTGAAAGCTACGTTCAAACCTTTGCTATTATGCTCTTCTATATGCACTTCCTATCATTGGATTAAACTCCCTACTAAACATCTTCCTAAAAAGCGAAAAAAGAGGTCCGTACCTGAATCTCGTTGAAGCTTATATTATTACTGTACGTCTACTATTTCCTTGGTTAAATACCTATAACTAGCTGTTTGAAGGACAACGCCGTAAATTCCTGCTTACTATACGACAATGTTAACCTGAAATTCTATACCGCATTGTTTCAGATACAAAAAAATGGCAAAAAAAAACGTGATTCTCCATTGAAAAAATACAAACGCTATACAATTGGAAGAGAATGCTAATTTATTGTCGTGTTTTACTTATTATTCACAAACATTATCTCTTCCAAAACCGCGAATATTTCAACAAGTTGCAATATTTGCTGCAAACTGCTATATACTCAGAGTGCTGCGATATTCTCAGCTCAATCCGCCGCGGTGACAACGTTATAAAAACGTTCACAAATTCATGGCATGAACCCGCTGCTGTACTTCGACATTCTCATGTTACTGTACAAATCAAACCTATCAAAAGGTAGCAAAATTGCTTATATTTCTGTGTAGGCTGTTGTACTGTACCGGTCTTTGAGTGCAACGCGCTGCCTTGAAGTCGTCTTTATATATGATTATGTAAGCTTACATGTGTCAAGGTGCGTTATTGATTTCTCAACATGTGTCACGTGAAAGGTAACATGATGCTTGACGGTTGAGCCTGTGTAGTTGAGCAGACTTAATCAGCGAAAAGGCAGATAGAAAGGATCATGTAAATGTACGTTTCAATATACTGCAACCATTCTATTGTCTATAAATATTAACCAAACTCCTTACTGCATCAACTTTGGGCTACAGGCACACAACAATGAAGACAAATACATTGAATAATCATGTAGCATAGTAGAAGACTACTCTATCTATTAATCTAAAGCCTGGAAGTTTGACTTCAAGGTACCATAGCGCCATATACATTTTGTATTTTTCAAAAATATTTGAAATAACGTGAGATGTTGTGATCCGTAAAGCTAGTTCAAGGGTCTTCACATAAGAACTAGGCTAAATGAGGAAGAAAATCAACGAGCTAGCAAGCGTTGCACCATCATATTGGACAGGATTCATTGACGAGATGAGATGCAATTCTAATTTGAAGTTTACAAAATGCTGTTCTATTCTTATATGATTATATTGCATTGAAAGAAGCACACTAGTAGTTGTTAGAATATGCTGAAGAGATACAATTTAGACTGAATTTTATTGTAATATTGGATAAGATATATTTATATGAGGTCAGAAACTCTCACAATAGCGTGCAAGATGTTGAAGAGCGAATTTTAATCTAAAGGTGTAATTGTACAAACAAAAGGTCAATCAAAAAAAAAAAAAGCTTAGCTAGTTGCAAGTCTTCCGTCATCAAAGAAGACGCCAAGGATGACACGCTGAATAAACTTAAACTAAATCAAGCAACGGGCATAGGCGATACTTCCGACAAAAGAGAATTGAATGATACTTATATCAAGCAAGAACGACGTGTCATTTTGATCTCTAAATGCGAAGAAACACTCAGTTCAAGCACACATCACATCAGATCATTAACTTTGACATTTAAACAGGATTCAATTATGATCCTAGTTGGGGCATGTTCAGGATAATAGATTGAATAAGTTATCCTGTCACCCATATCACCCCCATCTAATACTTTATCCTCACATCAAGCCTCTCAGTTCGAATTGTATACTGTATAAGCCCCTCATTTCCCAATGTAATAAACGATATTCTTTGCCTGATTATTTTCATGATACTCTTTTTTCTAATTACTTTATTTGTGGTAAATCAAAGAAAACGCAGTGAAAAATGAAGTGTTCGTTATATCACTGATATGTTTGTTTCAGAACAATTGTACCAAGTAGCTTCTGCTAAAGTCGGTACCAAGGGATTAAGAAAGAAGGGTTACTATTATCATTGCTGCCTATGCAAAATGAAACTTGACAGTTACCAAGCAATGAAGAGTCTTCGCAAGTTGGTTCATCATATTATAAGCTTTAAAAAATCCATTATCAAACATGTGAATTTGGTCAATTACCCCCGAATAACTTTTGCCAAAGCTGCGAGAATACTCATCTCTCAAAACGAAGCTATTTTTAGCATCTTACACATATGCATCATATTAAAAACGAAAGGAGATGGGCCGCTCAGCGATGTGATTCTTTACCCCCCATGATCCCAACTTCCACTGCCGTTCAATGCAACGTAGCATACAGACAACAAGCTTATTACAGAAGGCATCCCAAACACATTCGCAGCTTCCGAATAATGCAGAATCGCTGTGCCATTATCAAAAGCGCTGACATTCTCCTTGATTGGAATGATCCAAGCTACTACTGCGTATTTTGTAAACGGCAATACAAGACAAAAAAAAAGTGTCTCTCAAGTCATTGGGAGAGCTGTGCACAAATTGAGTGGCCTACAAATCCAAAACTACAATAGAGAGAATCTGCCCATTGTACATGACTTGAATTCCCACTGCAGAATACGCGACATCACACGCAAGATTGAACACACAAGTATGGAACCCATTGCTGTAAGGTACATCACATGCGTATGACCACCTCTGATACAACCGCAAAAGCACCAAATCTCAACAACCAATGTAGCATTTACAGCACAACGTTTTCTACTAAAAAATTTTTTTGAACAAGCGTCTATATATTTTTCACAAGATGGATAGCAATTCAGTGTCTCCAATAAATAACCTTAAGCTAGATATCAGCGGCCCTAACAATTATTGCAGAGTTTGCGACAAATCTTATACCAAGAAATGGACACTCAGACACCACCTATTAGTTGAACCTTCCATTCGAGAGAAGGTCGATGAAAAAGAAAAATCAAAACATGACATTGATGATCCTAACAACTACTGCCGCTTCTGCAAACGTACCTACCCCCCTCAAAGGCCGCTTATCATAGGTACCTTCGCCATTCCCATCAGATGATAACAAAAAGATTATTTGCATATAATTCCAAAAAAAGCTTCCTGATTGTTGTGATCCCGACTTGTATTGCAGTGTTTGCAAATTTTATTCTGAAAATCGAAGCAGCTATACAATACGTTGCAGAGGGCCTCATTGTATAGAGCTCTCTCCTGTTCCCAGAGTGAATACCAACCCTAGCGCCGAGATAGATATAAACGAGCCGAATCTTTACTGTGTCAGGTGTGATCGAAGAAGGAATATGAGGGGGGGGGGATACTCGACACATTTACGAAAAATTCAATGACGTTGCCACGAGAAAACAATAACAAATTCTGGATATGCAATTGACGCCAATGACCCCAATTGATTCTGTGCACAGTGTGAAAGTCAGTACGGCTCCAAAGGAAATTTCAGTAAACATTTGAAAGATTTTCTACAGATTGAATGCTGGAATGAATACAAAAGCCAAGCAATTATAAATTTTATATACAGTTTGAAACAGATAGCATTAGAATGAAGAAAATCCGCCATCATCTAAACATTCCAAGCCTTGATATCAATCACCTTTACGGAGACAAGAAAGCTTTGAAAATTGCAGCATTATCAGCCTGTTGTAATTGCATCTATACATTTAACAAGAAGGATTATTAAAAGGGTCAACATACAAACACTACATGGTTCCATTTGGTGATTTGATGGAACTCTAAAGCACGCACTTGTTCCTATAGGCATGCATAGGACATCGATTGGTCAACTTTGTGATGATGTTTCTTTTGTAAGTCAAACAATATCTTGAGCCAATATCAACAACAAGTACATGCAGTATTTGACTAGAATTAAAACCCTATACACTCAACCATTGCTACTACTTCAAAATCAATAATCACCTTTTACGAGTATACAAATGCGCGCCACCAACATGCCAGCCAAGTCTAGACTTTTTTTTTTTTTTTTTTTTTTGGAGTCATGTACTGGGGGAGGGGGGGGGGACGCCCACTAAACGATGATCCGATGTGGGGTAACTGTTACATTTGAAGGTTTTACAGAATCTTGTAATACACTGCCCCTCATTATCTTTTGATATCCTCTAAAGGTTAGGCCTATATGAGAGAAGAAGCTGAAAATGCATGGCTACAGCGTGTGAATTGCGAAAACGAGTTTTTTTTTTTTTTTTTTACTGAAAATGAGGTATAATATGTAACAAGAAAAGGATAGAAATAAATATATATATATACGACAAGAAGGTAAGAAAGATGTAGGCTATAATGGTTATTTAGTCTCTATGGTCTTTGAGGAATTGATGGTGGAACTTTTCAAGATCTGAGCAAAACTTGTCAAACAAATGTTCCTCTGGTAAAAAGGTGGATCTGAAATGCCAGGTATTATCCTTTTGCCCGAAACCGGAACCTATACATACATGGAGTATTAGCGTTTTGATCTGCGGCTCTATCGTGGGAAAAATAACTTACCAGGAACCACGCAAACACCAGTGGCTTCCAACATGGCATGAGAGTAGTAGGCGTCAGGAGCAATGTTGGCCTTCTTGGCTTCTTCAATCACCTTGTTGGAAAGAGTGATCTGAGGGAATAGATACATGGCGCCTTGGGCAGGTTGGCAACTCACGCCTTCCAGGTTGTTGAAACAATCTTGCAGCTTTTTGGATCGACGGCGCAATGAATCGTAAATGGTTTTAATTTCTGCCGTATATGACTCATAAGAAGGCTCTCCAAAACGCGGGGGGTTACACATCAAATCCACCAAGATTTGGCCATGCAGGTTGGGGCACAATGAAACAGAAGCCATCTTGTAGATTTGATCCAGGATACCCTGATCCAAGTTGACGCACTCAAAGTAGCCACCACGACGACCGCACTCACCAATCATACCCTTGGAGATAGAGTGGAATGACACCAACTCCAAACCCTCTCTCACCTCTGCATCAGGATGATCCATCAATGCCTTCTTGAAACTGATAAAAGGACGCTTCTCGGGTTCATAAATATTTGTTTGATAGACTTCGTCGGCCAATAGCACCAATCTCTCCTTGTAACAGAACGAAATGATCTCTTGCAAGTTGCTTGCTTCCAGACATTGGCCAGTGGGGTTGCCAGGATTGATAATGACTAATGCACGCACATCTGTACCTTGCTTGCGGGCTTGGGCCACTACCTGTGTCAGCTGCTCGATATCCAGGCTCCATCCAGTAGACTCGTCGAGATAGTAATGCACAGGAGTTGCGCCGTACAGAGACAATGAAGCAGAGTAGAGAGGGTACTGAGGAATGGGGATCATGATACCAGAGTGTTCATTTTCAGTCAGCATGCTCAAGAGAGTTTGCACACCAGCTGAGGCACCTTGAGTGAGGTAAATGTGATTAGGATCTGCTGAATAGCCATCACGTTCCTTGAGGAACTGTGCAACTGTATTGCGGATATGAGGGACACCTTGAGAATGAGAATAGGCACCCACACTACCAATGGAGTGCAGCAGAGTCTCAGCACGCTCAAGAGCGTCCGTGGGGTAGAGTTGAGATACCAGATTGCGATGCTCCTTTTTCAATAAATCAGGATTATCACACAGAGAGGCAACTTGACGGAAGAATGTAATTGGAGCTTGATTGAGTTGTTGAGGATTACCAATGTTGCAGTTGACAACCTCATCAAAGGGATACTTGACGCCTTGTTCAATGTCAGTGCGGATTTCCTCTGCTCTGATAGCCAAGCGGCCACGAACAGCGTATTCCACATTCTTGATGAGTGGATTCATGTTGTCTGTAGTCAAGACTTTGGATTGAATTGAAATAGTCATTTTTGTATTTGTAAATGTTGAGAAAAAAATATATATAAAAAAAAAAAAAAGATGAGATATCCTAAAAGGAGAATTTGTCTTGCTCTTTTTATACTGAAGGACCATCTCCATGATTTCACATGAGTGCCTTTTTCTTTTTTCTTGTAAAGGAAAATTGGAAAAGAAATATAGAACGGTTCAGTATAATTCAAATGTTTCATTGGCTCAAATGGATTGGTAAAATGTGGGGGGAGAGGGAAAAAAAAAAAAAAAAAGACGATGGTGAAACTAGGTTCACACACACACACACACACTAGTAGTAGTCTTAATGATTCATGTTTTTATTATTATTTTATATGATATGATATGATAGATGTGGAGGGATATATATATATATATATAATGATATGATTTAAATTCGGAATATGCTACAATCAGGTACAGTTACCATGACAACTACAATATATTCACACATTACAGGCTAAATGATGGTACCTACTAGTATGCATCATTTGTGGGGGGGGGGACACCTAAAATAAGGTTAAATAGTTTGGCATGCACGTTTGATTGGATTCATTCAAATGATGTCAATGCAACAGATGCTAGACAGGCACACCTCTACAAACGGGGCACGAATTATGTGCTTCGCATAACCAACGATCCACACACTCTTTATGAAAGACATGATGACATTTCAACACTCGCACTGGTTGCTTAAACGCAAATTCGTCCAGACAAACGAGGCACTGCTCGTCCTTGATGTCTTCATTTGACCATTGTGTCACTGGAATGGCTTCATCAACGGCTGCTTGTGTCGTTGTATTGGGTCTTGCAGGTCCCAGCATGTTGGTCAGCCATAACAGATCCTCGTAACTGGGATTGTCCTCCAGCACCAGGGAACTTGACAGTGCTTGCAATGGCGTCATATTGGCATTACTGTTGTTGTTGCTGTTGAGCACATAGACGATCCATTGACCTTCTTGCTGCTGCTGTTGTTGTTGTTGTTGTTGTTGTTGAGATGCTGCTGCTACAGTACGATTTCCTGTTTGAGTCGAGTTCATCGAGAGAGGCATGGACTGGATGGTTTCTGTGGATGATGTGGTCGATACCTCAGATCTCGGTCGTCTCAAGCCCAAGAAGCGGTAGGTAGGAGGTGGAGTTAATGGCGTTGTGGTGTCCTCTACTGGATTTGTGGTGTTGGTGCGGTACTCTATGACCAAAATGTGCATTCGTCTGGATGTAGTTGAGGATGCAGATGATTGCGGTGGTGTTGTGTTACTGCTTGCAGTGTCCTGCATACGAAGCGGTAGTTGCAAATACCTCAAAAACGAATTACCGCGTTGCTGCTGCTGTTCTTGGCTTGATGAATGCACGCTATTGTTATCTCTAAACACTACAGAGGACAACAGCTCGTTGAGGTAAGTCGCATCTGACGATGATATGGTGCTATTTCGGCTGCTATTGAGCGGCGCAGACGGCGGTGGAGGTGGCGTTGTGGATGTGGATGAAGCAGAATGTACCAAGAAGCTGCTTGTCGGTGGTCCAGTCACTGCTGCTGCTTGTCTGGTGGCTTCCTGTGTTGCTCGACGAACGCTGGATGTGGTAGATGACGCTGATGTATGGAGACGATGATGTTGTTGCGGCTGCTGCTGCTGCGTATGATGGTGATGCTGAATGTTGTTCTGTCTATTAGGCCTTCCAAATCGCCGTGTAGGATGTGTTACATGCAGTCGATTCGATATTCTTCTAAAGAACGATACGGGCCGTTGCTGCTGCGAGTGCATCGAAGTCGAGTGTAATGTCCGAGTAGATGCATTGTCATGCCTTGTAGAGGATGCTGCTGTATTCGTATGCGATGCGGCTGACGACGACGATGAGGAAGATTGGCCCATTTATTTTATCAATAGCAATATATATATATATATATATATATTTATAAATAAATAAAAGGAAGAGAGAAAAGAATAGTTCATATGATACTATACAACAAGAATCTAAAAACACGTGATATTGTTGAAACACACACACACACACACACACTTGCGACACTATGAGGGAAGCTCCCTATTGTGTATAGCGCAACATGTGCGTCTGTATAGTTTATAAATAAACATTTGGCTGCATCCTTTTGATCACTTTACAACTGCCAAACTAAACACTTGCTGATCTAGTAACACCAATGCATCTCCCTTGCGACTCCATTTCAGTTGCTTGATTGTGAAATCATCTACACGCACATAGACTCATTCAGAACACAGACATAGAGATCACTTTCTATGCACACTTACCATAAGGTACCGTCACTGGGATCATTTCAATGCCTTCGTTTTCCACTGTCACTTCTGCAAAATGTATATTTTCATCGCTGCAAATAATAGCAATAAGATGATCATGAGACGGGTTCCATACAGCTTGCTTGATGGGCTTCCGGAATATCAGCATGTGGATACATTTCAGTGTAGACACCTGCCAAATCCATAGCACAGTGGGCATCCTGTCGTCTTTGCTGCAAATGTACAAGCCATCTGGGCTGAAAAACATGGATCCAATGCCAATCTTGGGGTCAAACTCGTTGTAATCGGGTCTGCGGGAGGGTATATTGAAGGGTCGTCTCATGATGTATCGATCTACGTAGACAAGGCAGTCTGTCAATCCATACTCCCCTCCCACTATCATTGCTGCATTATGTTTAACCTACAGTCTATTTTACTCGATGAAAGTGTCGTCTGGGATATTGCTACTTCAGTCTCCTCTAAAACATTCTACAATGCGATAATGATGAGTGTGTGCACTCATGTACCACTTGGGTTGTAGACCCTCTTACCGTGTCTGCAGACACACTCAATGTGGTTGGATGTGTCAAGCTACCAATCGGCTCCCAGGTCAAGGTGGAGAGCAAGTGTATCTAATTGGCCACATTTTTAAGCATTCGGATTCATGCTGGAAGAAACCTTCTTACCGTATCATCAAAATTACCCAGAGCAATCACAAGACTATTGGGACTCCAGTGCACTGATTTGATGCCTAAACCATACTCGTACCCAGAATAAGATTTCAGTAGAAACCCATCTTGCCGGTACACGGATGCCTTGTGCTGTTATATAAAGATGAGATCATGGCCTGTCATTTCATGCCTACTGGCTTACATAGAGACAGTTATCCCAGGCTATGATGTACATGCTGTTTGGAGACCATTTGATGTCCTCTACATCCACCAGATCCAATGCAAATCGCTGCAGCAAAATATACGAATTGGCATGATAGATGCTGATGTAGTCGCCATTGCCGCCATGTCGCTCGATAATTGCTACGTATTTGCCGTCTGGGCTTGTTTCAATGCCTATGAAACCAGCCACATGCTGCTGTGTGAGATGGGAAGGGGGGTGGCAAAACAATAGGATAGCCCGTGTACCTTTTTCTGAATACTTGATATGATTCATAAATTTCATGGTGGATGTCGATAAATTCCACATGGCAATCCGTAGCTATACACAAATATACACAGTCAGCATCGTCTGTCCATCTTGTCAAGACATCAAAACATGGCACCTCTAGTTCTGCTACACAAATGATGTTCTTGGAATCAGGGCTCCATCGCACACGAACAAACGGAAACGCCTGTTCAGAGATGGATGCCTGCCATGCCGAATCAGCTGCTGATCGTATCTCCACTCGATGATGCTCGAAGTTGACGCAGAGAATGTGTTGTGAATCAGGTGCCCATTGTATGTAGTCAATCGGTCGGCGTGTTTCGTGCACTTGGAGCACGGTCATGTCGGTTGTATTCCTCCTGATCACGAGTCGATTCTCTTGTGCATTGGCAAAATAGTAGCTGTTGGGTGATATCTTGCATTGATATTGTGAGTGTTTGTACAAGTTACTGTACACGAAATTCATAGTGTTGAGAAGAAAAAAAAAGAGTGTAACCCAGAAAGAAAAGTCGCTTGCAAAAAATCCTTGAATGGGGGAGTGTCAATGGCTATTTTTTTTTTTTTTTTCAAATTTCATCCAATCAGATGAACAATAAATGTAGTAACATGAAAGAATAAGAAAGGCTACTACTTTATTCTACTTGGTAGTAGAGGGTTCATAATCACTTGAGTAGTAGACACGGGCTGCTTTTCTTGAGTTCTTGTATTAGAGGGAGTTCTCTTTGAAGAAAGAGAAAGTGAGTTGTCAAGTTGGTTACTCTTCTGTAAGGCCCTGTTGAGATCATGGTTCGTCTTTGGGGGGGTGAGGAGAGCATCAGTAACAGGCTGGCTCTTTCTCTCTGATGGTTCCTCAGAGCAAGAAGAAGAAGAGAAGTTTGCTTGGGAGATGCGCACATTTCTCGTTGCCGACACTATTGACGAAATGCCTTTATCTTTAGCTTGATATGCATCTTGGCCTTGCGATTCATTTTTACTGCCTGTACATTCGTATTCGTCATCATCTTGGTCGCCTTGGTATTTATCATACAACACAGCACTGTATTCACTTGATGGCAAAGAGGATTGATTAAATTTGGTGGCTTCACGAAAGCGACAAGTATGTAGCTCTTGTGTTTGAGAATGGTTAATACTCCAGAGACGTGCGTCAGTTGTAGTCTTTGCGTCTTTTGGTGCCTCTTTTTTTTTTTTTTTTTTTATGTGAACTGCTTTGTCATGCTTGATGCGATTCTTGTATCTGAGGATATATCCCGATTGAAGACAGCGCTCTGATGTTTTATAACCTTCTGATTACGATATGAAATAAGATGGATGTTTGGACTAGAAGGTACCCTCCAACAGTCGTCTCTATTTAGGCTTATAGTGCGCAATTGGGCATTCAGTAGAGAAAGGTATCTTTGCCCTCCCCCCTCCCCCACACACACCCCGTCCCATCATACAAGATCCTTCAAATCATCTTGTTATTGATGGATCTTTTCTCTCTTTTCCTACATCTAGAACTTGCTGCTCCTTTTGAGTGCTACATGATGGCATTTTGTTGAGGGCTGGACTTTGTCCCGGAGAGATATGTGTCGATCTTTTAGTGAACATAGACGCAGTACACTAATTCGTCCCTATCTTCTAATAGTAAAAACTGTGGATGTTACTCGAGTTTTTTTTTTTTTTTTTTTTTTTTTTTTTCTATCAACAGCACGAACCCTAATTGAGGCACAATAGGTAACCACAGGCGCCAAGCGACATTGTTTGGTACCACTCTGTATGTCAGGACTAGGCTATGCAAGAAAAGGAATCAGCCATCCATATGGTTCTGCTTATTAGATGCTCAATTGATTGCCATATCCGGATTTCAGATAATGCATGGATTGTATATTTATCCATTGGCATTGTCTGTAGGCATAATGCAAATTTTCATTGAGATTTCTGCTCAAGGACAATCCAAGGCTTTATGGGCAGTGTCGATGAGCCATGATAAGCTCTCTTGTCAAAGCGCAGGTCTGATGAGAAATCATGTGTTTATTAAGTAAATGTTATAGGCCCCTCGTTTATTGCTGCTCCTCCATGGCTTCAGGCTGATGCTGAGGAACATGGTCTTCGGGTGTCTGAATTGCTGGAGAATCATTGTTCATCGATCCATTATCTTCGTTATTGATAAAGGCAGTTGCCCCAGTCAAAATTTCCTGGCTTAATGGATGAGGCAATGTGCTGCTGGCACTGGATTCTTCCATGGGCTCATCCTCCAACATGGGCATAGGTGTGTTTCCTTCTGTCGTGGTCTGTGGTGTAGCTACTGTCGAATCCGTCATATCGTCGTCTGTCATGTGTGCTTGTGCGTGGGGTGCTAAAGCAGGGTGCTTGGAGGCATCGTTTATGCTATCCACATCGTTGTCCTCATCATCATCGTTTCCGTTCTTTTCCTCGTCATCAGAAATATCGTCCAGTTTGGGTGTTTGGGATCGCTGATCATCCTCATCCTCTGCGTCCTCTGCCATAATGGACGACACTGCCTTGTTGGATATGATGGAGCTAGGTCCGCCAGGAATACTGGATTCATCTAATTTCTTGTCTGATCCTGTAGTAGTAGTAGTGGTGGTGGTGGTAGTAGTGGTAGTAGTAGCTGATGTTGCATTGGCGTCGGCGGGTGTATTGGATGGCTGCTCAGTTGTAGTGATTGTGGTTGTAGACGCCTTCTCTTGTCCATCAGCTATGTCCTTGGTAACAGTTGTTTCTGATACAGAAACCTTGCCATTTGCGATACCCTCTGTCTTTACAGCTTCAACCTGCTCTACCACAGTGGTTGTTGCTGCTGGTGTTTGATCTGTTTCCATAGGCTCAGGCTCTTCTTCACTCTCTGGATCTTGCTCAAATTCAATGACCTTGTCGGCTGTGTAATATGTGTGTTAGGACACTGCTGGATCCATCTACACGCAATTGCCCTTACATTTGACCCACTTGAATGTTTGAAGCGTTTTTGAATTGGATTGTGGTGTCCATTTCTTCTCCCTGCACAACATAAGAATGAGAAGGAGGGGGGGGGGGGAAACGCGTGTTGCTCAATGCCATGCTCCTTTCTTACCAAGCTTGAACGGGTTGAGACAATGCTCTTATTAAGCGATCATTGTCTGATGTGTTGTACTTTCTTTCGCGATATCTACTATTCATTATTGGAAATTGGAAACAAGCAGAGAAAGATTTTTTTTTTTTTGTGCGAAATGAAAAAAAGAAAAAAGGGATTCAGTCCCAATCTTAATCACAGTGCAAAAGAAAAGAGGAGCTGTCAATGAAATTCGTGCCAGCAGTGGACATGAGACTATGTATGCAACGTGGGGGGGGGAGGGCTATGTGCCGTTTTATTTCCAAGACAAGCTAGATGCGTCTATTGTTATTATTATGCTGCTGTCCATCCTCAAACACCTGTTGGTCGTCTTCTTCGTAGCCTTCGTCGTCGTATCTTTCAAAGTCGCCCATGTCGTCTAGGTCTGGATCTTCCGAATCTGTTGTGTCATCATCTGAATCAGCATCTTCTCCTTCCATGTCCTCTGGGTTGTCGTCGTCGGGTCGAGGTATGCGAGTCTCCGGATCCAGTTGCAAGTTGTCCATGGTCAAGGAAAGATCATCTGCTAAGCTCTCGCTTGTTCTGGCGGTACTAGATCCTCGAATCGACTGAATCTTCTTTCGCATGTTGGCCAGCTTGATGTCCTTTTGTTGCGCTTCTTGTAACTGCATCGATTCCTCGAGACTCATCATGCGTGTGCCCGCCTATATAGCATGTGTCAATCCCTACCATGGCTCGCTATACTATCAAACCTACATGCAATGAATGACTGGCAGCCGCCATGTGGCCATGTGTTGGATGGGCCCGCAACAAGCTTTCGGGGTGGACTTCTGCTTGACTAGATCGTAGCACGGTTGCTTTGCGAATGTCTGGCTTCTCGTTCAAGGACAAGCCTGACACTTTATCTGTAATGTTGCTTTCGTTTGCCTGTTGTGCTTCTAATAACGATTGAATTTGTTCCAGTTTAGCCTTCAGCTTGGCTCCTCCGTCAGGTAGTTTTAAATTGCTATCAAAAGGCAATTACTATGGCTATTTTTTTTTTCTTTTTATCGCTGCTGCTCTGCCACTGTATTTACGGGTTATTCAACATGGTATTCGTCTTTTCGTACTGTGCTCTCAATTCCTTCTCATCCATGGACTCCAGTGGACGAGTCAATGGCTGTGATAGTCCGTCGAGTTGTCGAGATGGGTTTGATCCTCGCCATCCATTTCCTCTAGCGTTAAATTGTGTTTGCATTTTGTTTAGATAAAGAGAGAAAAAAAAATGATTGTAGTGAAAAACTTATAAATGCAGCCGGAAGTTTAAACGTCATAGCCATCTGTAGTAGTAATCTTTTAGGTGAGGAATACCAAGATGGGCCATGAAAGTACATAGGTGACCAAGCGATGAGAAGAGCCGAGTTGATTCACGTTGATACATTACGTAGCATTTCTGTAGCATCGTCTAACGGAATCCTCAATCTAAGCCTCATACTTATACATTGACTAATCTATGTATCAAGCTCAACAGGTATCTACTTGTTTGATAATGATATTATTATGGCTTCAATTTCGCATATTTTGGACGAAATGCGTTTCTTATCAGAATACGACAGCATTTGCCAATGTTGCGCTCTCGATACCACCCTCTTTGAGCGGGTTTAGACCGCCATAGTGGCACTAATCGATTGCTCTCGACTAGTACTTGCTAGCTGGAGCATCATCTCATTTTTTTTTTTTAAAAAAAAAAAAAAAAAAAAAAAAAAAAAAAAAAAAAAAAAAACGGGGAACCATTGACCGAAATCCTCATATTTTGCATGAGAGGTGCCTCGTGGTTTTTCTTGAAAATCAAACGAACCCGGTTTTCATTATGGCATGTACTATTGCGAAAAAAAAAAAAAAGAGACCTTGAAGTCTAATTTATCATGTAAAATCACCATTTCGAGCTATCCTGGATACGAGATATAGTTTTTCGACCAAATAAATATCTTTTGCCAATTTAGGAGAAAATCTCAATAGAAAACGACCGAGTTAGCAGCACTATTCAATAGAGCTCAGATATTTAGCCAGGGCTAACAATACACTACGTATGGTCTATACACTTTCTCTAGGGCAATCATTGATAGAAAGAAATATCATATCAAATGATGGCCATCCAACGTAAACTTGGGTTCTGCAACTTTTGAAGTATAGCGGAATTTTAATTAGGTTTTGTTGTGGTGTCCTGAAGAATCTCCATGGAGACAATACATACATTGAACGCTCATAATCAAGTTACGAGTTACAATAAACTGTTGCCCTTCTGTAATACTGTTATCTTGAAATTTTTTCAGAAATAATTTTTAAAGGAGGGCAGAGTCCGCACAGTGCTTTGAAACTTATTGATCTACTGCTATCGATGACGCTCAATATTGTCATCAAGGCAAAATTGACCAAACAACTGCTTGGAAACATCGTTCACTCTAGCGATCCCTATGTTCACAGAAGCAAGGTCGCCACTAGCTGTAGTATTCTTGTATAGCTACAATACCATTGTGCTAAATTATTTCAAATAGGCATACGGATCCATCGGGTGAACACCAATGCACTCAATAACAGGTTTTGGAGATCCCCTTCACCCCCCTTGATTTTTTTTTTCCCATAGACTACTGTACACAAACAGCCTGAATGGTTTATGCAAACGAAATAGGCCCCCCCCTTTAAACTCCCACTCTCTCTGTCTGTCTCTCTCTCTCTCTCTCTCTCTCTCTGTTTTTGTCATGGCAAATTATCCTAATTCATAGAATGTATTTACATGTGATGGACTGCTACCAATGAATTTCCCCACATTTTAAATAAACTTTATAAGCAGGTTACTTCTTGTCTCTTTCTTGTTTCTTTTTCACTCAATCTATTTCAAATACAAGACAGAAAAAAAAATGGTCTCTAACAAAGTATACGTCGTTGGGGTTGGTATGTCCAAGTTCATCAAGCCTCGTGGTGAAGTAGATTATCCAGGTAAAGTGTTACCGTGTGGGGTTTTGCAGCGTTCCTTTAATTAACAGGTGGCCATCATCATGCCTGTTGAATAGAATTCGCCCTTGAAGCAGCTGTAAAGGCACTGAATGACGCTGGCATTTCCTATGATGCTGTTGAATATGCTGCTGTAGGCTACGTCTACGGTGATAGCACTGCTGGTCAACGTGTATTGTATCAATTGGGCATGACTCAGATTCCCATCATCAATGTCAACAACAACTGCTCCACTGGATCGACCGCCCTTTATCAAGCTCGCAATGCAGTTGCCTCTGGTTCAGTTGAATGCGCCATGGCTCTTGGTTTTGAAAAGATGGCTAGGGGCTCCCTTTCCTCTACTTTCTCAGATCGCACAAACCCTCTCGGTAAAACCATTACAGAAATTTCTCCCACCCATACATAAGCGTGCTAACACATTCTGTGCTTGATAGACCATGTCATGATGGTCATGATGCAGGAACGTGGCTTTGATCCTAAGGCTCCTGGTGCTGCTCAAATTTTTGGTAATGCTGGTATCGGTTACATGGAGAAATACGGCGCTACTCCTCAGCATTTAGCCAAGATTGCTGAAAAGAACCATCGCCACAGTGCCCGCAACCCTTACTCTCAATTCAGAGACATTTACTCTTTGGAGCAAATTGAACAATCGCCCAAAGTATACGGCCCTCTCACAAAACTGCAATGCTGCCCTACATCTGACGGTGCTGGATGCTCCATTGTTGCCAGTGAGGCGTTTGTCAAGAAGCACAATTTATGGGATCAAGCTGTAGAGATTGTCGCTCAAGTCATGGCTACTGATTCTCCTCGCATGCTGACTACGGATGCAATTGAATGGGCTGGCTGTGATATGACTCGTCGTGCTGCTGCTCAAGCCTATCAAAAGGCTGGCATTACTGCTCAAGATGTTCAGGTCATTGAGCTTCATGATTGTTTCTCTGCAAATGAACTATTGACATACGAAGGCCTCGGCTTGACTCCTGTTGGCAAAGCTCATACTCTGATTGATTCAGGAGACAATACCTATGGCGGTAAATATGTCATCAACCCATCTGGCGGTCTTATTTCAAAGGGCCATCCTCTTGGCGCCACTGGCCTGGCTCAATGCACTGAGCTTGTCTGGCAACTGCGTAACTGGACTGGGGATCGTCAAGTCCCCAATGCTAAATATGCTCTCCAACACAATGTTGGTTTAGGTGGCGCTGTTGTTGTCACCATCTATAAGAAGGCTACCCAAGGCTCTTCTCAACCTCGTGTTGGATACAACCCTGCTGTTGAAGCAAGACCCATTACACAAGAAGAATACAACAAGGCTGCCTCCAAGCAAAAGAACAGAGCAGAGTTTTTGGAAGCTAAATTGTAAATTCCCTTCTTAATAAACAAACCAGTTTACTCTGTTGTGTATCATTATCATTGACAACAAACGCGTTGATATAAAGATACTAGTAGTTTTTTTTTTTTCTCACTTTTAGCATAATCAAAGCAATTTGCACAGACATGGATAATACAGCCTCCTCTGCTGCATTGAGCTCTCAGCAGCAAGATCCAGAGCGTCATCAGCCATTTCTTATGAATCAAGCACAACAAACTACAACACTTTTTTTTTAGCAGTGTCGCAACCACCACAACAACAACAACAACAACAACAACAACATCGAGAACGTTTGGCAGTCCTTTCAACTGTTGAGCTGCTACAACATGTTGCATTGTTTGATCTCAAGACACAATCTGCATTTACTCACTTCCCTCATTGTCCTTTATTTTGTGTTTACAAAAGCCGTTGGAAGTATTATTGGGCCTTGCTGTTGCATAGTACTCACCGGAGCTGTAGGCGCATTGCTGTATTTTCAAGGAGCTCTCAGAGGAATTTACTTTATCATCCTCTTCTTGGCAACTGGGCTCATCATGGCAATCAAGTATAACCTTATTATCTATAGCTGCCCTGCCTGTTTGCACAAGACAGCTACTTACAACTGTAGGACACGATTGATCTACATCACTGCTCCTGCAATTGCTGCTCCACGCCCATTGAATTAGTATTCCTGTAATAAAAGCCGTGCTGTGATACAGCATGTTACTTATAATGGACATTGTGCAACAACCAAATCTTTTTTTTTTTTTTTTTTATCAAAAGCAGCCATATTCATAATTCATTTGATCAAAGCGTCAAGAGCGATATTATTTATTGAGATAGTGGCAATATACACGGGATATAATGTGAAATGGATCAAACATTGGCAGATCAGGCTTGGCAAGTAAAATATGGGTCGTCTGGAATATAAGCACAATTGACAGCACCAGTCAGCAAGAATTGATCGCATTCTTGTTGCACGGACGTTGAGCAACCACCAGCAATTTTCTTGTTGACAAAAAGTGCTTGTACAGAGGTTGCCTCCAGGTGCAATAAACAAGACACAAGCATTGTTTTGATTTAGCGAGCATGTAGCAGCAGCCAGGGCGACTGAGATATAGACGATGAAGACAGATTTCATTTAAAGTGTAAAAAAAAAAAAAAAAAAAAAAAAAAATGGATGAAAGATGTTATAAAGCAAACATGTAGCCTTTTTATACTTGTCTCTCAATACTTGTAAAACGACAATTCGTTATGCTGCCAAAAGACCGATATGGACATTTAGCCTCTCATGATTGGTAATACTGCCTGCTGATGAATGAGCCAAGAAGGAAGCATGAGCTGAAATGCAATGCGACGCTGTACACATGTATGATGAGCATCATGCCAATGCTTGTCTATTTTATACCACGTCTCGCTTTCTCTTTCTCTTTCTTGTTCAAATCAAAAGACAATTGTACATGTTGTAACTCTTGAGCTATAATATAGACATTTGTAGTTTTAGTATCAACTGTCTACTGCATTGCTTAAAATACCGTAACCTCTCCTATTCAACATGAGTTTATTACAACCTTTTATGATATGGTAATGTGCATTAAAAAGCGGCAATAAAAGTGATTGAGCAAATCATATACATGTCCATTCAACACTTGAAAATGAATCCATATGATGTGTGTGTGTTTGGATTGCTATAATCAAAAGGTAATTGTGCTTGCTACATGGCATGCTAAAGGGCTATGTAACTCTCTTCTCCATGTCTCAGCTGCTGAATTCATAGGAAGGAAGGTGAATGCATAGGAACAGCTTAAAGTTGTAGACCCAAAGCATCACTTGCCCATTTACACTGCCGCAATTGATATTCAATTGTTAAGTATTTATATTTCTACATGATTATTATTTGATTAATCAAAAGGTCATAAGCGTTGTATATCTCTTTAGGTGGGGGGGGGGGCATATCATTAAGGAATTACTACTACATCCATATATATATATATATATATATAAAAAGGGGGGAATTAAATCTACAATAATAAAGTTTGAAGGTTTTCATGAAGAATACTATCAGATACAGACTCCATAATATGAGCTAGTAGTCTGGTATCTGTAGCAACGGTATAATGTACATAAATTTGTTTACTGGCATTGGCATTTAGCTTTGTGAAACGTCTTTTGAAGAATTCAGTAGCTTGATCATAATCCGCCGATGGTCCTATATTTGCCTATGAGTTAGTTTTAGCTTGTGGTTATACTTGATGGATATACCTTTATAGTCTGGAAAGTACTCTTTAATTTCAGATTTCAGTATCTTTTGCCTGAACAAATCCACCTTGTTCAAGAACAAAATCATGGATGTGTTGACAAACCATTTCGAATTGCAAATAGACTCAAACAACATGAAAGCCTCGTACATCTGATATAATGTTGCCCATTAATTCACATGCTGCTGCTAGTAAAAACTAGGTGTAATTATGCTTACCTGATTCTATATGCCATCAAATTAAATGAAGAATGATCGATTGGTAAAGGTACAAGGTAGAGTTTTAAATATTTGATTAAAATATTATGAAATGTAACACTACTTACTGAATATCTGTCTTCCACAAGACAGCAATCGTAACCACTCAAGGCGGCTACAAACAAGACCGCGGCCACATTATCAAAGCAATGTATCCTAGATATATATATGTATATATATATATATATGTGTGTGTGTGTGTGTGTGTATGTGATGCCAAATGGTCAGAGTGTGATGTTTCGCATTTAGATCTGCCATACCATTTCTTTCTTTCGCTGCGTTGTCCTCCAACATCAAACATCCTATAAGTAACTGAACCATGCCTAAATTTGGACTCGACAATTCCTGATTGTCGGCACTTGTTACACACATGGAGTTCACATATATACTGCTGTTGCTCACCCCTACCTGTAGTCTTTATACGGCAATGAATGATATCAGGGTCTGTGGGTGTATAATCAGGTTGAAACAGTCTATCCAATTGATCAAAAAAGCTGGGCCAAATCTAAGTCAAATGAATTCAAGCTGTGTGATTCTTGTCCACACTCACTATTTGATATTTTCATTGAACGCAAACGTATGCCCTCGAGCAAATGTCGCCTGTACGCTCTTGTCTTTCCATAATGACACAAGCGGCTGATGATAGTCCATGGGGTATGATTCGTGTATGGACAGCTGAAACGAGCTGACAGGATGCTCAAACAGGCCAATGTAATTCCAATTGCTGTCATTCTCAAATGTCAGGTTCAACAGGGCCATGCTCTCTAACAAGGCCTGCATCGATCCCAACAAATTGGTAAATATCATGACTCGAAAGTTTTCCCTTTCAATCCTCGAGAATCCACAAGCATGAATCAATTTCATCTGTTTGATAATGGTGCTCTTGCCAGAATCACCAGCACCTATATGCACATGAACAAGTTGTTTATAAATGACTCTTAATTTTAAAGCTTCCTTGGTCCTTTTTGATTACCTAACAATAGGATTTTAATTTCCTTGCCGGCTCGCTTCTTTTCAATCTTGAGCTGTTTGTCAATTGCCTTGGATTTGGAGCTGATACTGTTTCCCATGCTGTTGGCTGTTGCTCCCCTTGCAATCAACGATAAAAGAGAGGGAAGGAAGGGGGAAAAAAGAATAGCACAAATTTCAAAAGAGAATATATAATCAGAGAAAGAACAGAAGAAAAAGAGGTCTTTGCCTAATTCAGTTGGAAGCAAATTTTAATGTAATACCAGAATCGCTTCTCAGACAAGACAACACAACGCTCTTGGGATTTAATAAAGATACAACTATATATAAATATATACACACATACACACACAACAGTCAGCAAGCCAGCAAGCCAGCAAGCCATGGTGGATCACTTTTTGACTTTTCCATTCCAGCCAGGTTCATCCACTTGGTTGTATTTCTCTTTCCAGATCCAAGAATTGCCAATCATGCCCTGACCCTGCTTCTCTGCCAATCGATAGTATTTGGCAGCACAGTACAAGTCCTTTTTCACACCAAGTCCATGCGCATAACAGAATCCCAAATCATTTTGTGCGTCTGGATCTCCCAGATTAGAAGCGACTTGGAAATAGTAGGTTGCTGTTTCCAAATTTTTAGGTACCTGAATTTACTCGTTAGAAAAAAAAAAAAAAAAAAAAAAAACATGTTCGTTGGCCCTCTTTTATGGTTTCTTTTTCAACTTACACCCCATCCATGTCGAAAACAAACACCGAGTTCATAAATAGCAAGCACTAATTCAGATTTTGCGACCGACGCTGACTGAGCGATGCCAGTTTGCAAATCATACACTGCACACTCAGCTGCACTCTGGAGGTAGCAAACTGCTTTTGTGGGATTTCGCTTGCATCCCCATCCATGTCGCAACGCAATGCCGTAAAAGAAGAGTCCTAGTGGTGATCCAGCTTCTGCTGAGAGCCGCCAGTAATGTGTCGCTTTTTCCAGTTCTCCTTTCTCATGGTATTTCATGCCCAATTGCAAATAATCTTGTGTATCCTCTGCTGCACTCTGTGTGGCTGGTGGTACTGCTGGTAGTGGTGGCAGATCAGATGAACAGCTCGATGCTGATGAGGAATGAATCGATTGCAAACTACGACTCATCAACGGTTTTTCCTTTGTGGGTGATGCCAGTAGATTCTCGTCAAACGATGTAAGAGAATGCGCTGATCTCAGTCCAAATACCTGATGCTGTTTATTGGTGTTGAACTCTATGGCTGAATTGATTGCTGGTGGATGTTCAACACAGGGAGAACTGATGGATAAACGAGGCAGCGCATCAGGCTGTTCTGTTGCCGCCGCATGTTGGCTACTAAACAGCGAGAACCTCTTTTTGTTCTTGCTGCTGTTGTCTATGGAAAGCGCCTTTCTAAGTCTATTCATTTGCTATTGTGTGAAAAGTAAAAGGAGAGAAAAAGAGAATCAGAATCTATACAACCATCACATTTTTATATTGGATTTCAGCACCCAAACCAATTAAGGTAATAATACCAATTTCTTGAATCACTGTGCTTTTTGTTTTGCGCCTTGTTTAGGAGAATTTTATGCCAGGTAACTGATTGATATTTTCAGCACACATCAGTGATGGATCCCCATGTCATGTAAAGCGGAAGCAAGCCCTATGGATTCCATAGTTGATGGTATCATGGAGATTCCTGTAAATTGTTTATAAATAGATTTTTGTTCACGGTGGGTTAGTCTGTTGGATTGTGTATATCTACATAACGTGATGTTATTGATCATGCTCTGGAAGTGTACAATTGAAGAAGGTGGTGTATACACAGCATGTTACTCATAGGGGTATTCTGTAAAGGGTATGCTGTGAAATCATGCGAGCGCGCGCTACACGGTCAATCCCATTGTTCATTTATATGGTGATCGCTTTTTTTTTTCTCCCCTCTCATCACCACTTGATCCAATCAATTCACATGAATTGGAGCTAGTATATAGCCCATAAATAAAAATAGACCCACTAATAGGAATTCTGCTCCTGACGATCAAATTAAATTACTGCGAAACATGGCAAATCTTTTTTTTTTTCAATTGACAGCATTGCACGAGTGGATGGCCATCAAAGCATCTCATGGCGCATCTCTTTTTTTTTTTTTTCAAGGCGAGTTAAACGTTGAGTTGGTAGGTCTACGCAAGAGCATTGAATGCAAAGCCTCATTCTAGCAGAGAGCTTTAATCTCCTCAACTTGGAATACATTCATGTTTTGATGTCGTACCTCACTGTGCAATGTCTTACCACAACCATTACTACCACGATCAATGTTCAAAACTCAGCAAACGATTGGCATAAATCAGAAAACAAAGGAGAAAACGCATTGCTTGTTTATCAACGTATACAATGACGCACAACAACAATAGAGATCCTGCTATTGTTATTTGGTCCGAAACAGCACCTGGACTGTATAAATCTCACAAGACGATCCACGTCCACACGCATAAAAAAAAAGGGGGGAAGTTGTTCCATCTTGTGGCAAAATATATATATATGTATATATACATCTCTTGACACTCTACATCTTGGGTATCATGATACAAACCAAAGCGAGGACTTTTCAGTACTAGCAAGCCATCTAAATGTGTAGTTGACTTGATCAAAAATAGTGCTTTTAAAACCCCCTTTTATGAAGTTAATAAGGCGTGTGTTACATGATGATGATGTTTAAAAGGGGAAACTCAACAATCCATGAAAAAGCAAAAAAGTTGATATTTCTTTCGTTTTTCTTTCTCTCTCTCTCTCTCTCTCTCTCTCTCTCTCTCTCTCTCTCTCTCTCTCTCTCTCTCTCTCTCTCTCTCTCTCTCTCTCTCTCTCTTTCTCTCTTTCTCTCTTTCTTTCTTTCTCTTTTGCGCCATTACATGCTTCGACAATTGAATAATCTATCCAAACTTACAACATCGTCACTCAAGTATGCAGCCAACAACACGGCCGCTGCCTTGGTGAGCCTGAGCGCCTCCACACGAGATGATCCAACACTGCCTTCGCCGCACGTCATTGCATATTGGATAACTGAAACTCAAAGAGGATTGGTAAATGGCTAGGTCATGATGAACCTACATTTCTACTAACGAGCAACTAGGATGCCTTCTTTAATGATGAATTCGAATTGGCACAATCGATTTTCATGCAACATCATTTGGAATCGCCTTTTCATGCTGTTGGATTCGCTCTTATTGCCTATGTAGAAGCGATGCTTGGTTTTGAATCAGATAAAATACAAACCGCCCTCGAACGTATTGCGGCAGCAGAAGCCTTAGCTCGACAATTTTCCAAGAAGGCGCGGAGAAGGAGCTGGCATCATGGTCATCATTCACAGCAACAGCAACAGCATCGATATACCAAATACACAACAGCAACAGAAGAGTCGGCATGGACAGCATCATCATCGTCGTCGTCGTCAACTACGACAGCAGCAGCTCCTTGTCATACTCTTTTTGATACCCCTAATAACCCTATTATATCCATCTCATTCGAGGGCAACAACAGCAATACCAATGACACAACGAGACGGAAGTCGAAACCGCTATCACCAGAGATCCAGTACGAGCTGCTAGCTACCAACTGCATGCTCATGTCATCGACCATTCAATTCCTCAGAAACAGTTGGCTGGAATACATGAAGGCAGCCTACAAACTTCGGAAAGCGTATAAATTGTACGAGCACATGTTTGAATCGCTCACAGGACAGAAAGCGTCCGAGTATGCTAGTCATTTAAAGAAAAAAGGGAGTAGCAGCAAGAAGGCTTCTTTTTCTTTTTCTACGCCATCATCCGGTACCACAACCAATAGCGCTGAATCACTGTCCAGCATGTTGGCTAATTCAGCTCAAGTAAGAGCCTCTTGGAACGAAAAACGGCTCAGCTTATTTCACATGTCGCGCCAACCGAGCTTTGATGTATCATGCAAAAAGAGGCCCATGTCAACGCTGGATTGCTTGATGGAGGATTCGTCTTTTACTGTGATTGATAATGCCATTGAAAGTGGCATCTTTTTTGGCATTGGACTATTTAGCCTGATATTCTCATTGCTACCACCAAGAGGTATATACCTGGTCGATGCTTACTTACAACATGAACATACTAATGCACTACTTTAGTCAACAAAATCTTGAATACACTCGGATTTCATTCTTCCCGCCCTTTTGCACTCCATTTACTCACTCGATCATTCAACAATCAGGGCCTTTATTCATCGCTGTCAGCACTTTCGTTGCTCGCTTATTATACCAACTTGTCCCTGTTTATACACCCACAACTGTTACCCAACTCGCTCAGCTTGGAAAATGCACGACACATACTGGATCAGATGAAACTATCATTCCCTCACGGTAAGATATGGAAACTACTAGAGGGAAAGCTCTGCAAAATGGAGGGCAAAACCAGACGAGGCGTGGAAATTCTTCGAGATGCCAGACGCAGAGAAAATACACGCGTTGACCTTGGCACTGCGGCTGCAACATTACCACCCAAGAAGAAAAAGGCGGATGTATGTGAACTGGCCCAACTTCAAGCATTAGCAGTGTATGAGATGGGATGGTAAATATCTCCTCATCTTGATTTATACTGTTTCTTTTTTTTTTTTTATTATTATTACTCTGTCTCCCTAACGTCTATATTTTACACACACACAAACACACACTTTTTTTAGGGGTCAAATCTTTTTAGGCGATTATTTTCAAGCAGCAGAAACATTTTTTCGATTGGAAAGCATGAACAATTGGTCGAGAGCCTTTTATCATTACATTGCTACCTGTTGCATGTTTGCAGATGAAGAATACGAAAAGTCGGCACTTGAGTTTATGCAGATACCTGGCATCCTGAAACGAAAGAGGCATTTAGGAGGACGGCTGTTGCCCAACGAGATATTTGCAGAACGGAAAATCAAGCACTGGAAAGCCAAAGCCAACAATGCCACCGTATTGGATGGCCCTACATTGAAGCGGGTGGTCGTTGTGCATCCTCTATGGGAGCTCATCTACCTGTGGAATGGATTCTCTCAGCTCACAGCCAGCACATTGCAGTTGCTCAAACAGACAATTGAAACTAGTTTAGCTACCTTGAGCAAAGAAGATATTGGCACGGACATGTCTCAATTGTACTTGCTCTTGGGTGTCAGTGTGCGCGAATTGGGGGATTTTGACCTGGCAGACATGTACCTGAGACAGTCGATTCGATCCGAGGACATGAAATGCGAGGATCGCTGGGTGACACCACATGCACTCTATGAGATGGCAGCTCTCTGCTGCTTTAGAATCATGCAAACAAAAGATGTATACCAGCAGTTGAAACTCTACAAAGAGGCACATGAGTGGATTCGTAAATCCGAGAAACACTTGGCGCATCGTGTCAATCACCTTCAGCAGCAACAGCAACAACAGCAGCAGTACCCACACCCTCAAGAAGCTGAATCAGTAACATCAGATAACACAGGCGATTCAGACTGGGACAGTCGACTGCACGTACGCTGTCAACTTTTGATAGAAAAATTAGAAGATTTTCGATTATAATTTGTAATATATATATATATATACATATACATATCTTTAGATATGAATAGAGACTATATACTGTATCTAATTAAATTTGACTTTGCATTGTTGATCTGCATATCATTGATTTAAGGAAACAACTTGTCTTGTAAATAACCCGCTGATGCAGCGCTGTGCCCGCGGTCAGATTAGCGCAACCAGTAGTAGTATATATGATGCGAGTAATATCTCATCAGTTTCTTTGCAGCCACGCTAACAATAAAGATGCAGTTCTATTATGTGCACTTACATAAGGTTGGATGTGCTGTCTCTTTGAAATATAATATCCCTCGGTTGAGATAACGTGCTCTTCAGTGAAAGTTACGGCCCTAACTGACCAGACACTCGCTACAATAGAGAAAACTTATAAATTTTGAGAGGACAATTGCAAATATGTGATGAATGTCAACAGTCTGAAGAAGACGTAATTCATAAACTAAAAAGATACGGCTACTGTTACAAAGTGGTTTATTATAGCGTAAATAGTAAGAGTGAAATAGAGTAAATGTATAGATAAATAGCCACATCAGATTCGTCTATATAAATGAGCACCTGGTTTATAGCTTTCCAACTAGTAAAGAATATATAGAGATAAAGAAAGAGATGTAAAAATATAATGATAAAGTAGATAAAGTACAATGAATCGATATGCTAATGTATACAAAGGATTCAAGGGATTTTATAATTGATAAGTTCAATGAAATAACAAAGATAATAAGCTATTATAGAGCTATAAAGATATGGTTTAGGTAGGAATAAGATGATGATTTTTGTTTGACATTATTTGAATATTTATATTAATTTGTAATGAAGGGCTGATCCTTCTTCTATAATTGATTTTGATACACTTAGTAGTAATCCTAAAAGCTTGAACGATTTTTATAGCTGGAAAGCTGTGAATGTTGATATTGATAACGTTATTGAAGGGTGAAAGGTTGAAAAAATGTCAATTTGATTCCCATTTGAGTTCTTCCAGTAGAAGAGAGAAATGTTTAAGAGATTGATTGAATTGACATCTGTCAAAATAAAACGAGGCTATGTAGTAATTCTTGGATATAGAGTTCAGAGTATGATGTAGTTTATTTGATAGCCAAGGCAATGTAGAGCAAAAAGAGAGATTCCGATACAAAATCAAAATCAAATTGTATGACTATGTACACCTCCTTTCTAAATTTTGGGAAAAAAATTGCTCATTAACAGGGTCGAACTGTTGACCTTGGCGTTATTAGCACCACGCTCTAACCAACTGAGCTAAACGAGCATCTCTTTCCGTTTTTCATCACTTTTTGCCACCCTCTCCGTAAAAAGTCTCCTTAGAATCACGAAAAACGCTATTTTCCCAACAATCAGCAATTCAATCAACTCCAAAACTATACCAGTATACTTGCCTTTAGTCTCTGTCTATTGTGTTATAGTTTCAAGTTTATTGAACATCTCCTTCATATTTTTTTGGATCTTCAACAATTTCTAAAAAAATAATCAGCAATATGCCCGAGTTTCAGCACCCAACTGATATGAATCAGGTTACTGTTATCATGCAACAGTTACAGCAACAACTTGCCTCTCTTTCTGAACGTGTTAATCAACATGATGGTATTTTGGCTCGTCTCGATGCTTTGGAAAAGGAAAACCAAGCCTTGAAAAAAATTTTACACGACAAGGATCTGGTCATTGAAAAATTGCAAGCCACGTCACAGGATTCTGTTACAAGCACCCCCATCAAGGGGGCATCTGGATCCACCACCTCTGCTACTGCCACCACTGATTCTGGTACTATTAGCTATTCTGCTATAGCTAAGAAGGCTGCACATCGCCCTGATCCAACTAAAGCTACTAAGAGAAAGTTGGCTGCTGGTCGTCTCTTCAAAACGTCTGCTGCTAAGGGTCCCCAAGGATACCAATATGTATATATTGGTAGATCTGGCAAGATCTTACGCTCTGAAATTCGACGCACTCTCAAGGCCATTGGGGTGGATACGTCTCGTATCCTCGACATCAACTTCCCTGCCTCCGAAGCTATTGGTATTCTCTTGCATACCCAATATGTTGCTGAATTCTTGGCTCTGCTCCGTGCAAGTGAATCGGAAATATTGGAGGATTTTGACCCGTTGAATCCTGCTAATATTGCCGACCCACAATACGATGCCTACTCTGAACACGATCGAATGGATCTCATTGCTGAGATGGTCAATGCTCGCAGCGTAGATGCTCTGTCCCACATCCGCCCACTTAATGTGAGTAGTGTTGGCCGTTGGTTCCTGGATCTTGGATGGATAGGTCAAGCCGAACTGGACGAGGCTGTTGCTGGTGCTATGGACCGACTAAAGGAAAAGGACCCTAAAAAGGCTGCTTTCTTGTTCAAGCGTCGCCGTGATACTTCTACTGATTCTGAAATGGAGATCTAATGTCTCTTAACAATGAATCATGGTCTGGTAATTTGAATAATGTGTCTGTCCCCCCGGTTTTTGTCTCTCTCTCTCTTTGGAATGCGAATGGTCTTCGTCAAACAACAGTTCATGATGTTATTTCTCATATTGTTGATACTCATGTTCTGTTTGTCACTGAAACTTGGCTCACTTCTGGTTCCTATCCGATTGACTGGTCTCAATACCACTTGTATGGTTCAAAAGTACCTGGTGCTTTCAACCGTGGTTCTGGTGGTATCACTGCTTTTGTCTCTCCTTCTTGCCCCTTTACGGTCTTCCAACTCCCTTCATACAATCCGCACACTCTGTCTCTCAAGGTTGGCACCCTAACGGTTCATTGTGTTTACTTTCCTCCACCCTTATCCTCTGATAAGGTGCTCTCGGCCCTCAGCTCATTACCTATGACTAGGGATACTATTCTCTGCGGTGATTTCAATGCTCGGTTGGGTCCTCTGACTGGTGATGCTATCTCCAATGCTCGTGGTAATGCTCTCAAACCTTGGTTTGACGAACATTGCTTATCTGTGCTTAATGCGTCTTTGGCTTTTGGTGTCAAGACTTACTCTTCTTTTCGGCAGCAGCAAGAATTGAGTAGTATTATCGATTTGTTTCTGACAAATATTGGTGATGTTGCTTTGGTGAACCCTCAACTGGTGGTTGAGTCTGATCTGTCTCTTGGTTCTGACCATCGATTGATGTCACTTACTTTCGGGTATGTGCCACCTCTCGATGACACTGTGGCTCCTGGTGATTCTGTTCTGGCTCCTCGGCGGCAATGGAAGCTCTCGAAATTGACGAAAGAGAGGCCTTTGGGCCTACTCCGTGAATCCTTTCGATCTTCTGTTGCTCCTCTGGTTGTTACTCTCTCTGGTTTGGTGTCTGCTCCTCCTGGTACTCGTCCCGACATTGATGCACTCAACGGTTCTTTGAACCAATGTTTGTATGAATGTTTGGATAGCTCAATAGGTGTGAAGTCTGGCCGTCCTGGCCATTGGAAGAAATACTGGACGCAAGAGATCCAAGACGCGGCTACTGAACGGGATCGTCTCTACAGTCGATGGCGGTATGCCCTTGGGTATACTAAGATTGATTGTTGGGTCTTATACAAGCAAGCTCATCGCCGTTTTCGCTCTTTGGTACAGTCTGCTAAGCGCAAGTCCTGGCATAAGTTCTGTGGTGCTCTGGAAAGAGACTTCTCAAAAGCTACTGCTGCTATAAAACGCATCAAGCGCAATAAAGAGTCTTCACCTACGTACAGTCACCCAGATGGTCCTGCTGCTTCTGTTGCTACTATGGGCTCTCATTTGGCTACGGTCTACGAAGGTGCTCTGTTAAATACTGCTTCTCGTCCTGCTCCTGTCACTCCTATGGTTTCTGACTTGCCTTTCTGTCTCCCTGCGGACATGTCTTTGTTTGATACTGATACCTTGGTACTGTGTATTAAACGTCTGCCGACTCACAAAGCTCCTGGTCCTGACCATATCAAGGCTGAGATGTTAAAAGCTCTGACCTCAGAAATTGCCCCAGTGCTCTCTCTGCTGTTTCACCTCTGCTATCAATGGTCTTATACTCCTGGTTTATGGCGCCAAGCTCAGGTGTTTCCGATTTTCAAGAAGGGTGATGCTTCCGATCCTGGTAATTATCGACCAATTTCGCTCACTTCGGTGGTGCGTAAGTTGTTTGAGTTCTGTCTCATGCCGGCTCTGGATGAACACTCCCCTGCTCTGGATATTGCTCAAGGTGGCTTCCGTCCTCAACGTAGTCCTCTGGATCAAGCCCTCTGCTTGCATGACTTGATGCATGATTACTTTCTGACTCACCGTCGCTATCCTGTGGTGGCTTTCTTGGATATCAAGTCAGCTTATGATACTGTCGATCGTAGGGTTATATGGCAAGCCCTGGCTGGTTCTACACTTCCTCGTCCTGTTCTGGGTCTTCTGATGAACATGTTTGACGATGTCTCAGTCTCAGTCTTGATTGCTAATCATACCTCTGCTGCCTTCTCTCCTGTTACTGGTGTACTTCAAGGCTCAGTACTCAGTCCTCATTTGTATTCGTTGTATATCAACTCCTTACCGAATCTTTTGCGTTCTGTTGATACTGGTGCTACGATGGTCAGTCCTCCTGGTGCTAGTCGTCCTATTGCCATCAATAGCTTGCTCTTTGCCGATGATGTTGCTATCTTTGGGTCTTTGTCTGGTGTCCAGTCTATGTTGGATCTTGCTGCTGAACACTCTGTCTGTCTTGGTTATAGGTGGAAGCCATCTAAATGTGCTGTGCTCGGTTCTCCTGCTGCCCTCTCTGATGCTCGTCTTACTCTCTACAATGAGCCGCTGCCGGTGGTAGATGAGTTTGTGTACCTTGGTATGCCATTTCGATATAAAGGGCTACATGCTCCTAGTATCTTGTCTCTGCGGTCCGCTGGTGCTGTCAAGGTTATGGCTTTGCTGAACTCTGTTGGTGTCAACCGTAATGGTTTCTCTCTGCTGCTCTGTTCTCGTCTGTACAAGGCTTTCGTTAGACCCAAGGTTGAGTATGGCCTCGCTATATCTC